TTGGAAACATCCAGACATTTCTACAGTTGCTGGGGCAACGAGGGACCAGAATCGCATATATAAAGCAACACGTCCTGATTTATTTTGAAAGATCCACGGCTTCAATCTAACTGAATGCTGTATATATGACGCGATAAAAGAGTTCTAGTGTGTGGTGGTCTTAGCTTTCCCAACTTTTGTTCGGTTGTTGGGGTATAAGCGAATTTATGCGATTCTTTTTTGACTATACTATACAAACTATGGATGGTGATATCTCAGGCTGTCTTGCAGGTTACATGGTCATACTTTGAATATTACGTATTTGGAGGGCTAACTACGTATTTGCACACTTTGGGTGGATTTGGAGACCAGCTTTCCTTTTTTATTAGCACCATTCTCGTTCTAATGCCGCATATATCGTTCCCTGTGCGATACAGCAGTGCATTATGCAGCCTCCTCAGCGCAACTCCGACAACTGTTCACCACCGCCTCGTTTAGCCATGAACTCCGAGCGTTGATGTCACGTCACACTTCAATTGGAGGGCATTGTAGCCTTGGTCATGATCCCCAGTAGCTGTTGTTTCGGTTTCCGTGACCCACACCTTCCTCCCTCATCTCAAGAGCGGGCACCACGAGGCTTGCACCGTCGATCTTCCATTGCTGGACGGTATATAAACTGAGGAGAAGGACCACTTGTTACATGCTGCTCAGCTCATTTTGATGCATTAGCCGTGTGATCAATACAACCATCGCTTAGGGAGAGTCTCGGAGACATGTTTAGATCCGCATCAACTATTTCAGCGCTCAAGTTTGCTTCTTTTAATCCCCTACGCAATTCGCATAGGGTTGCTCCACGCTTGGTACCACCAATTGTGTTAATAAGTCGGAAGAACTCTACAACAATGAGAGGCCTACAATACTACGGTGCTAACGACATCAGATACAACACCGAGATCCCTGTTCCGCAGGTCACTAACCCAGATGACGTGATTGTAAAGGTTGCCTTCTGCGGTATCTGTGGGACAGATCTACACGAGTACGAGGAGCCAATCTTCTTCTCCAGTGCTGCGTCGCCAGACGGTGATAAGATCAGTGGCAAAAAGTTGCCACTGGTTCTAGGCCACGAGTTCTCTGGGGTAGTTCATGAGGTTGGTTCCAACGTCACCCATGTGAAGGAAGGGGACCATGTGGTTGTGGAGACCACAGGCCACTGCGAAGAGAGACAGAACTACTTCAAATCTCCGGAGAACAAGAGAAGCCATCTACCAACGTGCCAGTCCTGTGAACTGGGCTACACAAACACATGTGCCGACCTCAACTTCCTGGGGTTGGGTGTTGATAATGGAGCCCTTGCCGAGTTCACAAAGTACTCCAAGAACCACGTCTTGAAGGTGGACAAGAAGATCCCCCTGGACGTGGCTGCGTTGATCGAGCCTCTCTCTGTGGTCTGGCACGCTGTTGAGCTCGCCAACTTCAAGGCAGGCCAGGATGCCCTTGTGCTGGGCGCAGGGCCAATTGGCCTCGCAACGTGTTTGGTGCTCCAAGCAAAGGGTGCTTCCAAGGTGGTTGTGTCTGAGCCTGCCTCTATCAGACGTGAGCAGGCCATCAAGCTAGGTGCCGTTGGCTTCAACCCAGCCGAGTTTGGTCCACGCGCGACAGAGGAGTTGAGAAAGTTGGGGTCCCGTGGTGAAGGCTTTGCAGCTTCCTTTGATTGTTCTGGTATTCCTGTGACGTATGAAACGTCTATCCATGCCATCAGAGCACACGGTGTTGCCTGTAATGTCGCCATCTGGCCACACAAATCGGTTGCCCACTACGTCATGGATCTCACTCTTGAAGAGAAGACGTCTGTCGGGTCACTGGGCTACACCACCAAGGACTTTGCCGGTGTTATAAAGGCCATGGAAGCTGGTAAATTGGAAGTTGCCAAGGTCAAAGAGCTTATCACTGGTAAATTCTCGCTTAAAGATGGTGTTGAGAAGGGCTTCAAGGAATTGATTGAGCACAAGGATAAGCATATCAAGATCCTCGTGACACCAGATATGTAAGCGTATAGCTAGTAGTAATTGAAGAATAACTGTGGGTGGAAAGTAGCGTGTATAGGATGTGAAAGCATAGGCAGTGCAGTTGGTGTCCGGCTGATTGGGTGTCCAGATGTTTTGGTGTCCGGGTGTTTGGATGTCCAGGTGTTTATCTGTCCAGGTGTCTAAGTGTCCGGCTTAACCTTATTCAGCAGTGCACACCCGGGAATTTCCTCGACACATCAAAAAATCACAACAAAAAACTCCTTGGTTACCACCATTGGCGTGTTATCGAGTCGAATAGCGAGCACAGCAACGAAGCGAACGAACCATGTCTTTAGAATCCCAGCAGATACCGTACGGTAAACAGCAGGCGTACTACAACGGGCTGGACCAGAACTTCCAGGAGTTTGCTGAAACCACGCAATGGCAACAACAGCACGAGCAGATGAACCACTCTCAGGTGCACGGCGGTCAACACAACGGTGTTCAACCGGACTCACATGTAGTTGTTGGTGGTGGTAACACGCAGGACTATGAGAGTGGATATCCTGTGTCGTTGGAATATGAACAGCACCAACGAGGGTTTCAAAACAGCGATAATGACCAAGAACAGATACAACTTCCTGCGCCTGTGCCACAGCTTCCACCTACACACATGTCACATCACCAGGCGCATCATCCTGAGGCACGTCTTCATGAACAGCAACAGAGCCAGCAACTCCAGCTGCAGCAGCAACATCTTCAGCAACATCTTCAGCATCAACAACAGCAGCAGCAACAGCAGCAGCATCAACACCAACCACAAATGCCACAAGACGATCGTAAACAAGAGGATGTCAGCATACCGCAAGATGACGTTTCCGTTGATATGCCGGTGGAACAACCGTTCTACGTGAATGCCAAGCAGTACCATCGTATTCTGAAACGTCGGTTAGCCAGGGCTAAGCTGGAGGAATCCCTGAAAGTTGCACGGGGAAGAAGACCATATCTTCACGAATCGAGACATAAGCATGCTATGCGCCGTCCAAGAGGTCAAGGTGGTCGTTTCCTCACTGCAGCTGAGATCGCAGAGAGGGAAAGACAGGAGAAGATGAAACAGATGGAAGAGCAGATGAAGACTGACGATAGCTCAGAGTCAAACCAGGTTACAACTGAGAATCATGCTACTGTAAGTGGCGAGAGTAGCGCAAAGGATGCCACGCCCTCAACAGGCGAGCCAACATCGGCTAATGACATAGCAGCCACAGCAGTAACGACAACGTCTTCCCAGTCAACAACAGTAACAACAGCAGCAACTAATACTACTAATACTACATCATCTAGTTGATTCCTCCCCTCCCACCATTGCAATGCTGTGCTATGTGATCTGATTTGCCCATCGAGTTATGAATTTATGTTAGGAATCTTCATTCCCCTGAATACAACAAAGAACGAACGAAAAAACAGTCAAAAGGAGAAGAGTTATGTAAAAGAAGAACTCATACGCTTGTTCACTTACCCTTGACTATGACTACTGTGTATATATATTATAAACTTCCTTTATTGTACTGTTTAAAGAGTTGTCTATTTACAAGTGTATGTTGTGTGTTTTTATCTTTCTCTGTATCATTTTGCGTCATAAACGAGGAGTGGCTTAGGAAGCCGGGGCTGAAGATGGCGAGCCACTTGGATCGTTCTTTGGATCCAAATACTTCTCAAATGCCTCATTCTTCTCTTTGAAAGGTCTTGGTCCTAGAAGCTCAATCATATCGTTTCTGGTCAATACCTCTTTCTTCAACAACAACTGTGCAACCTTTTCAACTTCATCAGCTTTCTCCTTCAAGAGGTTACGGCAACGATCAGCACATTCGTTAACGATACGATAAACCTCTGAATCGATAATTGTTGCGGTTTCTTCACTGAACGGCTTGGTCATGTCGGAATCGTCCTTACGTTCAAGCGCCAGTGGTCCAATCTTTGGAGACATACCCAGCCTCACAACCATGTTATTGGCAATGTTTGTAACCTTCTTGAAATCGTCACTTGCACCAGATGTAACAGAGTCAAAGTGCAACTCTTCGGAGATACGGCCACCAAGCGCCATGGTCATCTTGTCACTCAATTGATCAACACTCAAGAGGTAGATATCCGGTGGTAAGTACTGTGCATAACCCAAGGCACCTTGTCCTCTAGGAATGATGGACACTTTCAACAATGGGTCTGCAAATTCCAAATACCAACCACAAATGGCATGACCAGCCTCATGGTAAGCAACAACCTTCTTCTCATGTGGTGACAACAATTTGGATTTCTTCTCCAATCCTGCAATAACACGTTCAATGGCTTGCTCGAAATGGTGTAAAACAACCTCTGGGTCATCGTGACGTGCTGCAATCAATGCCGCTTCGTTGACAACATTGGCGATATCCGCACCGGAAAATCCTGGTGTGAGTGCAGCCAACTTACCACAGAGATCCTGGAACTCTGGGGAGTCTTTAGAAATTGCCAACTTGATTCCTTGTAAATGAACACCATAGATTTGTTTACGTCCTTCCAATTCTGGCTTATCAATCTGAATATGACGGTCAAATCTTCCAGGTCTCAACAAAGCAGGGTCTAGAACATCTGGTCTATTAGTACCTGCAAGAACAACAACATGATCTGAGCTTTGGAAACCATCCATCTCAACAAGCAATTGGTTGAGTGTGGTTTCACGTTCATCGTTTGCACCAGAGAAGTTACCCTTTGTACGAGCCTTACCAATGGCATCGATTTCATCAATAAAAACGATAGATGGGGCATTTTCACGTGCCGTTTTGAATAAATCACGGACACGAGAGGCACCAACACCTACAAACATCTCGACAAACTCTGAACCTGAAACGGAATAAAATGGAACACCAGCTTCACCAGCAGTAGCCTTAGCCAAGAGGGTCTTACCGGTACCTGGAGGACCGGAAAGGATTGCACCTCTTGGGATCTTACCACCCAACTTTTCATACTTCTCAGGGTTTTTAAGGAAAGACACAAACTCCATCACTTCTTCCTTGGCCTCTTCCATGCCTGCAACGTCTTTAAACTTAACCTTAACATCTGTATCTTGATTAAATTTCTTTGCTTGAGACTTACCCACGCCAAAGATACCACCTCCAGCACCACCAGCACCTTGAGTCGAGCGCTTTGTCAGCCAGAATAAACCAGCCAACATCAACAAGGTTGGCAAGAATTGGAACATTGAACGCAAGAAATGCCCCTCTTGTGCATAGACAACAGGAATACGGAAGTCATCGGCCACTCCATTCTCATCTTGAGCCTTTGATAACTTGTGCTCAAATTGATCTAAGGAACCAAGTGTAAAGTAGTAATAGTTTTGTCCGCCTAATGACTGTTTACCATTATCGTTTAGAACCACACGAACCAAAGATTTGTTCACGACAATAAGCTTCTGGACGAATCCTTTATCTAAAAAGTTTGTGCGGAATTCTTGGAATGTGATTTCATGGGAACCATCTGAAGATGTTAGGTAGTATCCCATAAAGATTGCAACACCCATAAACACTAATATCTCCAGTGGATCGACACGGAATGCATAAACTCTATTCTTTGGATCTGAATCGTCCTTGATAAATCTCTTATTTCCATTTGCCAATTCATCCTCTGCTTTCTTCATCTTTTCTTCGTTTTGTTTCTGCCATTTATCAAATGTCTGTTCTTGCTCTTGCCTTTCACGTTGTTTCTTCAACTCCTCTGCGGTTTTACTGGCATCTTTGTTCTTGTTTTTTAAGAATTCTGCAAAGACAGAGTGATCAGAAGAATCCTCTTCCTCTTCCTCAGCTTTAGCTGCAATTTGCTCCTGTTCCTTGGAGAATTGGAGCAATTCTTCAAATAATGCCTTTTTCTTGAGCATTCTTGGGTCGTTAACATCCTTCACCGCCTCCAAGTACAATTCAAGAAATTGTGAAGGGTGAGAACCGTCTCTTCTAATCAAATCTTCTAGTTTATTCTTGACACTCACGACATCCACGGTGTCGCTTAGGAGAAGCTCCAGGAATAACTCTCTCTTACGGATAGAGGCGGCAGGGTTCTCACCAGGCTCTTCAATAGAGCGCTTAAACTTGGAATAGTTGAGATTGCCATCTTTATCGAATAGGAATCTACTTGGAGCTGAAGTGTGTAGCAATCTTCTTCTCTGGCCAACCGCCGTTGAACTCACTGGGAAACCGGCACCAGCGACACCAGTGGCGGCGGCGGCAGCGGCTGTTGTTCTTGGAATGAGACAAGAGAACGAGTTGGATCTCCTTGTACAAGCGAGACTGTTCCCACTGAGAGCAACCGCTCTGGTACTGAATCTCACCAGCGGAAGCCTTTGTGGTACAATCATCGTTTCCTTGCTATGTGTTCTGATGGAAAGAGACAGAAAGCGGTGATGGAACCTTTTTGTTGTCGTTGTCGTTTTTGTGGTTTTTGTGATGTTGTGGGTTTTCTAACCGCCCAGTTTGTCTCTCAGATTCATTTGCCGCCCGAGCAGAAATCCCACTTTGCAGGAGGGGTTTGGAATCGTTGTTGTTTCCCATGGTGTTTGAGTGTGTGGGTGTTTGGGTTTATAGGTGTAAGGGTGTTTTTGGTAACCCGGTTTTCGGTAACCCAGTTTTCCAAGTGAATCGGAATTACGTCGGGACGGGGACGTGTGCCTGTGGAAAGAAAACGTTGGAATATTCCGATGTTTGTGTCTGTGTGCTCAACGCAGTGTAAACAAACAACCCATAGGAATCAAAAGGAGAAGCAACAAAGGGAAGAACAATGGCTAGAAGATGTATGTGTATATGTACAGAGGCAAATGCTGTGATCTAGGTACTAATTTGTGCTAGCGTTACGTTCCAGCACCGCGGAATCCTCCATGGTTGTTGAAGATCCTGTTGATGTCCAAGAGGAGGATGCAGAGTACCATGAGTATGAAGATGAAGAGGACCAGGATCGTGGAGACGAGGAGGAAGAGGAAGAGGAAGAAGGTGAAGAGGAGGAGGAAGATGACGAAGATGATGACGACGATGACGATGAAAGTAAAGCGGATGACGGCTCTAAGCCAGCAAAGAAAAGAGGCAGACCTCCTAAGAGACCACCTATTGAGGACGGTGGACTGAGCGATTTCAAGCGGATTCGATTTGAAGAGCCGAAAATCAAAGGAAGAAGAGGCAGAAAGCCTGCTATTGCGCCAGAGGGCTCACTGGTAACTGAATCTGGCCGTGTGCTTACAGTTGTTGATGACGAGTACGACTTGAGCGAGGACGAGGAAGGTGAGCAGAAGATCGATAAGAATGGTGCGCTACTCGGGAATCGTGAATATAGGGTCAGAACGTTTAAAGTGAAAGGTAAAGGTGATCGTCTTTATATGCTTTCTACTGAACCAGCGAGATGCATGGGGTTTAGAGACTCGTATCTGCTTTTCCAAAAGCACAGACTGTTGTACAAGGTTGTGCTCGATCAAGATGAGAAATATGATTTGATCGATCGTGAAATCATCCCCCACTCGTATAAAGGACGTGTTATTGGACTCGTTACGGCACGTTCTGTGTTTAGAGAATTTGGTGCAAAAATCGTCGTTGGGGGTAAATGGATCACGGACGACTACTACGCAACGAAGCTACGCGAATTAGGACGTGTCCATGAAGGTGATATCGCAGATCCTGCCGATATACTTCCCATCCAGGGCACCGAATACAACAGAAACCAATTCGTCGCGTGGCACGGTGCGTCGCAGGTGTACCACCAACCTTCTTTCGTGAGTACGCCACAGGCCTCGTACGAAACCGTTGAACTCGCCACAGTGAAGGCCCTCAAACAAACGGGAAGCATGGATGAAGAGAACTGGATGTTCCAACACGCCTTGAGCGTTCGTGAATTTGAGAACGCACTGACCCAAGGTCGGATGATCATTCAAAGAGGGTTGAGAGACTCGTATACCGGGATAACGTTCGTCCCAGGAGAGACACAAGCAGCACATGTCCAATTCGTCAAAGAGGAGGACGACAACGATGTCAACAGCAAGAAGAAACTCGTATATGAGACAAAGATGCAAGTCAAAGGGTTCACAAGAAAAACGGGACTCTGCGATGTGCCATTGGAATTGTTTGAGGACTGCGTTGATGAAGAAACCAAGAATGCTATACTTAAACAACAAGAGTACGAGAGGTTCTGTGTATAGGTATATTTTCTCCAATACTACCAGGATAATAAACCATTATGTAATCTTGTAGGAAGACGCTTCACGGTTTAATATGACGATGCTCCAGCCGAGAAAAATGTCTGGATGTTTCTTTGTTTACTTTTTGTTGCCCGTACCGGATTCCCATGATCAAAAACTTTTCAATTTGGAACTGGCGGTACTTTCCCCTTTTCCTCTTCTTCATCTCATTTTACCCTCCCAACTGCGTGTGCATTTCACTTCACGGTTATCCCACTGACTGATACGCTGACAATGGCTGACTTGGAATCTCTTTCGTTGCTTTTGGAGCAATCGCTGAATCCTCAGACTTCTAAGCAAGCAGAGCAGCAGCTTAGAGCCCAGGAAGATACCCAAGGCTTCGCCTTGACACTTCTCCATGTCGTTGCCTCGACGAACCTGAACATCTCTACTAGGCTTGCTGGTGCTCTGTTCTTCAAGAACTTCATCAAGCGCAAATGGGTTGATGAAGACGGTCGCTACCTCAACTCTGATGTTGAGCTCATCAAGCATGAGATCATCCCGCTGATGATAACTTTACCTAATAACTTGCAAGTACAGATCGGAGAAGCTGTTTCTATCATCGCCGACTCTGACTTCCCAGAGCGCTGGCCAACGTTGATTGATGACTTGGTTGCCAAGTTGAGTGAGGATGATATGGTTACAAACAAGGGTGTGCTCACTGTGGCCCACTCCATCTTCAAGAGATGGAGACCGTTGTTTAGATCCGACGCTCTGTTCTTGGAGATCAAATTGGTGCTGGACAAGTTCTGTACTCCATTCCTCGCTTTGTTGCACCGTGTGGACTCCTCAATCGACGCTAGCAGTGACAACAAGGCTCAACTGCAGATTCTGTTTGACGTCTTACTTCTCTTGATTAAGATCTACTACGATTTGAACTGTCAGGATATTCCAGAGTTCTTCGAAGACAACATGAATGATGGAATGGGAATCATTCATAAATATCTCGTCTATGATAATCCTCTGTTGAGAGATGATGATGAGGACTCAGATGCTGATATTTTGGCAAAGACTAAGACCTCAATTTCAGAGTTGATTCAGCTATACACCACAAGATATGGTGACGTCTTTGATCCAATGATCCCACAGTTCATTCAAAGTGTCTGGAATTTGCTTACTGCTACTAGCTTGCAACCAAAATATGATATCATGGTTTCTAAGTTGTTATCTTTCTTGACATGTGTTGCAAGATTACCAACACACTCTGAGATCTTCAACAACGAGACCGCAATGAAGGAAGTCACGGAGAGAATCATTATTCCAAATTTAACCGTTAGAGAATCTGATGAAGAGTTGTTTGAAGATGATCCTATTGAATACATCAGACGTGATTTGGAAGGCTCAGACTCCGATACTAGAAGAAGAGGTGCCATCGACTTCCTTAGGGAGTTAAAGGCCAAAAATGATTCATTGGTCACACAAGTTGTGTTTCAATATATCACTCATTATTTGCAAGAATACCACAAATTTCCGCAACAATGGAAGTATAAGGATTTGGCTATTTACCTCTTTACTGCATTGGCTACTAAGAGCTCTTCGTCTACAAACATCCTATTGGATGTTGTTCAATTCTTCACACAGAACATCGTTTCTGACTTGATTAACGATGACATCCATACCATCTTAAAGGTCGACGCTATCAAGTATATCTATACTTTCAGAAACCAATTGACAAAGCAACAACTTCTTGAGTCCTTCCCAATTTTGAACAAGCATTTGAAGGCTTCAGATTTCGTTGAATATACCTATGCTTCTATCACCATTGAGAGGATATTGTCCCTAAGAGGGGCCGATAAAAAGCCAATGTTCAACAAAGAGGATATTCAAGGTATTGTTCAGGAGTTATTGACCAATCTCTTCCAATTGATCTTGAAGAACACGTCAACCCCTGAGAAATTAGCCGAAAATGAGTTTTTGATGAAAACACTAATGAGAGTTTTGCTCATTGCAGAAGGCTCGGTTTCCTCAATTGCTGTGGAACTACTGAAGAACTTGTTGTCCATTGTTTCAATCATTGCGAAGAACCCATCCAACCCAAGATTTTCTCATTACACTTTCGAATCCATTGCCATCTTGATCAAGTACAACCACAACGGTAACTGGAATACACTAATGAACATTATTGTTCCATCGTTCCTCGAGTTGCTTGGTGCAGACGTCCAGGAGTTCGTCCCATACGTTTTCCAAATCCTGGCCTTCTTGTTGGAAGTTTCTCCTGAATCTGAACCATTGCCAGACACATATAAGCAACTAATCCAACCTTTGCTGTCTCCAAGCGTCTGGGAGTTCAAGGGTAATATTCCAGCAGTTACGAGATTGCTACAGGCTATCTTGGTGAAGGACTATGCTGCCTTCGCTGACCTCATGGCTTTACTCGGTGTCTTCCAGAAGTTAATCTCTTCTAAACTCAACGAGTACTACGGATTTGATCTCTTGGAAACCATCCTATTGAAGGTCCCGGATGACAGACTTCAACCATACGTCTCTAACATTGGTGTGCTGCTCTTGCAAAGATTACAAAACTCTAGAACGGAGAAATATGTCAAACGTCTTGTCTGTTTTGTTTCTAAGCTTACGATGATCAAATCCACTGACTACAGTATTCTCTTTTTTGAGCAAGTTCAAAGCGGTATTTTTGGGGTCATTTTTGAGCAATTCCTCTTGCCATCTATTGCCAACATTGGAAACTTGAACGATAAGAAAACCGTCATCATTGGCTTAACACATCTGATCCAATCGCCAAAGTTCATTAGCGGCGAGTTTCAGAAATTGCTGACCCCAACTGTCGAAGTGCTGTTGCAACTGACCACTTCCGAGTCCATCAAGTCCTTGAACGCAGATGTCGATGAGCTTGCTGGACTGGAGATGGAAGAGATCTCTTCCTTTGGCTCCAGTTTCTCTAAATTGAACAGTATTCCAGTCAAATCCTTGGATCCCTCAAAGATGACCCTCGCTGAAAGTAGGACCTACTTGGTGGGACAATTGAAACAACTTGATCAACAAAGCAACGGCATGTTCATCAACCAGGTCAAATCTCAACTGAATGAAGACGGTCTCAAAAACTTGGCCATCCTGGGCTTCTAAAATCGGTATCTACATCCTAATATGAAACTCGTATGGAATTATCCTCATAAGAATTGTAGAATTGTGGCATGTTTCATCCGGACACCACAACCCTCTTCGATGGCCGAATAATTTTTTTTCTTCACTTTTGCCGATAATTGATGGGTATTAAAGAGGTTTCAAGCGTAGAATTTGGTGACACTTGACGATGCTCAACGCTTCCAGAAGGGTGTTTGGGTCTGTTACACGCCAGAGAAGACATGTACATATAAATTCTGAACTTTCGGCTGCTTTGGAGTCTGCAAACGAGCTTCCGGTTGTGGTCATTGGTGGAGGACATGCCGGTTGTGAAGCTGCTGCCGGGTCGGCTAGAGCAGGTGCCCATACTACACTGATTACTCAAGCGTTGGATAAGATCGGCACCTGCTCGTGTAACCCGTCGATGGGTGGTGTTGGTAAGGGTACTCTTCTCAGAGAGGTTGATGCGCTTGATGGTGTGGCTCCTAAGGTTGTTGATAAGGCTGGTGTTCAGTTCAAAGTGCTGAACAGCTCTCGGGGTCCTGCTGTTTGGGGTCCAAGGGCTCAAATCGATAGAAAGATCTATCTCAGGGAAATGCAATCAGTGTTGAATAACTATGAAAATCTGGATCTATTGGAAGGGCAAGTGAAGGACCTCATCATCGAGCCTGAAGGAGATGTTCACAGAGTTAGAGGCCTAATATTAGAAGATGGCCGTATCTTCAGAGTGTCACAGGTGGTTATCACTACGGGGACATTCCTTGGAGGCGAGATTCACATTGGTCTTAAGGCCTATCCAGCAGGAAGAATCGGAGAGAAGCCAACATATGGAATCTCTGAAACTCTTCGAGATGCCGGCTTCAAGCTGGGGAGACTTAAAACTGGTACTCCTCCACGTTTCTCTTCAAAGACCATCAACTACGAGGGGTTGGATGAACAACTGGGTGATAATCCACCACAAACGATGTCGTACATGAATGATGAAGTGGCCATCAAGGAACAGCTGAAGTGTTACGGCACTAGGACCACTCCCCAACTACATGATTTGATACGTGCCAACTTGGACAAATCCATTCATATTCGTGAGACTGTTCGTGGTCCTCGTTACTGTCCGTCGTTAGAGTCTAAAGTCATAAGATTCCCAAATAACGAGGGCCATAGAATATGGTTGGAACCTGAGGGTTTGGACACTGATCTTGTGTATCCGAATGGTATTTCGATGACCATGCCTGAAGATATTCAAGAGCAACTTGTTCGTATGATTCCAGGCTGTGAGAATGTAAACATGGTACAGCCTGGTTATGGTGTTGAATATGACTATGTGGATCCACGTCAGTTGCGTCAAACGTTAGAAACCAAGCTTGTCAGAGGCCTTTTCCTAGCTGGACAGATCAACGGTACCACAGGTTATGAAGAAGCAGCTGCGCAAGGATGCGTTGCTGGCATCAACGCTGGTTTGGCATATATGGATAGACCGCAGTTGAAACTGAGCAGGTCAGACGCATACATGGGTGTTTTGATTGACGATTTGATCACCAAGGGAGTGGACGAGCCATATAGAATGTTCACTTCAAGATCGGAATTCAGAATAAGCGTTAGATCTGATAACGCTGATTTGAGATTGACGGCAAAGGGGAGAGAGCTTGGAGTTGTCGGTGATGATAGATGGCATAGACATTCTAGTGACGTCAATATCATGGATGAAACAATACAAACCATGAAGGAAACGTATCTGAGCTCACATAAATGGAGCGACATATTGGGTATTAACGTTGGTGTCGACTCTTCAAAGAAATCCGCATATGACATGCTTCGTTTTAACAACGTTACCGGTAAATTGGTGTTACCAGCATTGGCTGAAAGATATCAGGATATTCCAAGCAGGGTTCTTCACAAAATTGAAATCGAAGGTAAGTATTCGCCATACGTTAACAAGCAACGCAATTTCATCAAGGCATTCCAATCTGATGAGACCCTGTTCCTTCCGTTGAAATTTGACTATTCCTCAATGGCCTCTCTGAGCTCAGAGTGCAGGGATATTCTCAACAGGGTACAACCGGAGACGATTGGCCAAGCCAGAAGAATTCAAGGTATAACACCAGCTTCCATTTTTGAGCTTTATAGGCTGGTGAAGACACGTCAAGAGGAGATTAAAGACGAAAGAGCAATTGTGAGTCCCTTGGCTTGAACCGTGCTTGTACATAGAACATAATCACAATTTGTCCAGTTTGTGCAAATGTAGCCGTAATTCTTGTAGGTCCTCCATAGGCAAACGATCATTTACTATTTGCACAAGGTCCGCTTGTGTCCTAACAAGTCTTTGTCTTTTCAAGAGGAGGAAGGAGCTCTTCAAAGCGATTGATTTGGAATCTGAATGATCTGCGAATGACACAAGATCCTGGGATATCTGATCGAAGAACTCGTTGGAGATTTCCCGTATCACAGTGCTGCAATCGGGTGCAAATGGTCTCTTTGAAAGAGTTTGAAGGTGCTTGTAAACCCTTTTAGAGCCCAATGGATCATTCTTGAGTGTCGATTGTCTAGATGTACTCTTCCGCGTTGAAACTGCATTCTTCTTTGCAACGATAGCGCTACTTGAAGAGTCCTTTCCATTCTCCAAAAACGGGTTTGATTGTAAGCCTTCCTGAATGAGAGAGTATTCCTCTCCGTCTTCCATGCCTTCATCGTCCATGATCCCCTCTGGCATGGCAATATCGGAGAACCCTCCTGATAACGGCTTGGGAGTGAATTGCTCCACAGAGGCCATATCGTGCTCCTCAAGTGGCATGTTATCAGGCTGAACATCGAAATCGTAATCCACATCAGACCTTGGTGCCGGGGTGGTATTCTTATCAAACACTTCGTCCATAAGCTCCGCAGGAGCGTGTAATTCACCGAATTGATCTGTCTCATGGCCTGCCTCTTCAATACCGCCATCTCCGTGGCCTTCCGCTTCCCCTTCGCCCTCTTCTCCCTGTGGCTGGTGTCTATCATCAACTCCATGGCTCTCCTGCTCTCTCACAAAGGCCATCGAAAGAGCTCTCAGCATATTCTGCGGCGTGGTGCTTACTCTCCTTCTCCGTCTCGGAGTCAGCATATCAGCCTCCATGATCGTAGACCTCCGTCTCCTCGTGGGGGTCCGCACCGGAGTCTTTGATCTGTTTCTCCGTGGTGTTTCTCTGCGGCTCGACGCTCCAGGCGTGCTTCTATTGGACCTTCCATTCCTCTGTTTCCATTCGTTAGTACATACACCATCCACGAAACATCACACATGCTCACTGTCTCATCAATTCGCCCTGGTGTCTCCGACATGGCCTCTTTTCCGTGGTTTTGCAACGTTGTTTTACGTCTGATGCCTTTGTTTACATTTATGTGCTGTTTTGTTTTGATGTTTTTTTGTTGATGTTTGGGGATTTTGTCCCGTGTTCGATTCTCCCCAGTTGCTCTATTCTATAAAACCTGATTATGTAATCTCATCGGCTTAAAATTTTATGTGGATAGCGATGAGCTACAGCATTTCAACCTTTGCACTGCTCGATGAAGTAGCTCTGTGTATCGCATTATCTGATCAAGAATGAGTAAAGTGGAGAACCCTGATGACCTTAACGATGGGCTTGATTATCAAGTAGATTCTGAGGAAGAAGTTGCAGCCTTCGAGGTCCAAGAGGGCGAAACCGAAGATGAAATAGTACCACAAGAGACTCAATCAACTAGTGGTGCTGGTAAGAAGCGTAAGAAGCCAGCCACCGACAAGCTGAAAGAGAAGAAGAAGATCAAGATGGAGCAAGACATCCAGAAGAAAAAGCAACTGGCACTCTCTGATTCCAACGAGTTGGCTCAGTTCTTTACGCAGGTACTGTTGCAGCAGAACAACGATGCGACACAGTTGGACTATTTCAAGAAGTCTGACTTTGTCGACGCTTCCAAGTACAAGGAAAAGAGAAATCTGGACAACTTCAAAGACTTTACAGATAAGTACAACAAGGGCTTAACGATAATACTGGCGATAAACCGTGTTAGAATTGGTGATTTGTTCAAGGCACTGGGACCCAAGTCAAAAGCGTTGAAAGTCGGCAAAGGTTACGAGTTCAAGATGAGAGAAGATACCAAGTATATTATTGGTACTGTGGAGAGAGTATTGAACTTGGATTTGACAGAACATCCTGTTAAATCAATCATCATCGATGCCTCATACCAAGATCAAAAGACCCATAGTGTTCTCGACGAATCCAAGTTGACAACTCTTTTGAAGAAGTTCCAGGGTATTAAAACTATCCTTTACTGATATATTTGTATATATATATAAGCTATCCCATTGAGTCATCCTTCTCCCATCGCATAGTTCACAATTATATAATATATTATTATATAACTATAATTCCTGCTTATGTAAGCTCACCAACCACTATTTACATTTTCCCCTTTTCGGAAATTTCATTATATGCATCAAATGCCTGAGGAGGAGTTCAAACACAACTATTTCTACAAAAATAGCTGAGACTTTGTCTCACAATTGGACGTTATATATTGAAGCAGCAGGGTGATAAATAATGAGCTCCAACTCTTTAACCGGTAGCATCGACTCCAGAGAAACCGAAGTACTTCTTGGAACCACCGAAGCCACCACCACGACGGTAACTACAGACGCAAATATCGATTCAAACAGAACAACCAATATGGGTTCATTGGAGGATCTTGAAAACACTGCGCATGCAGACAGAGAGAGGTTGAGAAAGACTATTGAGCTCTATAAGACTGAGACGAGATCACAGAGAGCAGCTGCCCATGAATACGATGCTGAGTCCCTGACGCATTCTGTCCAGCACTCCTTAACAATGACCGATGACTTTACAGATGCCGATGACTTTATAGTTAACAAGTCTGATCACGATGGCTCAGAGCATGGGGTCCAGTTAAGACAACACACTCCTCCAGACCAGCAACTGCAAATCGATGAGAACGATAACACAGAAATTGCACCTGTCAAACTACAGCCTCCAAGGGCTAACAATCAAAACTCCCCTTCTACAATAAGCAACAGAATGTCCATAATCTCAGACTACGCGGGGAGTATCCATGAAGTCAGCCAAGTTAAGTATGTTGTTGATCAAGAGCAATCCCCATCTGCTGAATCAACTGCTGCTTTGAAGAAACCAGTTGTCAAGATTAGCAGAAACCCATCAAAGAATACGAAGAAGGACACTGTTGCAGGCTCGAGCTCTGAATCCACCTCAGGATCTTCTCGTTACCCTGTGTCCATGTATAGTGCTAACAACGAAGCCTCACTGGTCAAGCCAATCGCTGAAGAACGTAAGACTTCAACAGATTCCTTCGATTTTGGTGCTGGTCAGTTGAAGACCACCAAGAGGGGCCAGGCTGTTGGCCCTGAAAGGTCTCACATCACCGCCTTGGACCCTACAATCCCATCAAGATCACCAAGAAGACCAGTGTCTATGGTCATCACCGGTGATATCCCACCACCTCCAATCGATACCTTACCTCATCATGGCAGGGCCAAGTCAGTTGATGATTTTGTTCCTGAAAAGAATGCTGGACCAAGAGATATCCTCATCACGAGCTCTAAGAAAGACCCAAGACCGCTTCCTCCACCACCAGTTCCTCAACATAAATCTAAGAAGAGCACTACCACGGATGATGGATTTGTGACCGAAGATGAAACAACAGATCCTCTAACTTCCAAGAAGAAGAGATTATCTAAAAAGAGAAAATCTAAGCACCATTCAAAGAAGTTTAGTGAGGAGACACTAATGCAAATGCTTCAAGTAACAGAAGGAACGATCATTGGTCAGGAGTTCCAAAACATTGGGCTTGAACCTCTTGATAAGCAATTGTTAGAGAGACTTGTGGATTCACTTTCAAGACTCACAGCAGATATGATTGTTGATCCTGATAGACACGAGGAAAGTGTTAAGAGACTAAACAAGGCTATAAAGGCTCTGGAAGGTTTCTAACAACGATTCTTCTTCTTCATTACAATGTTTTCCGATCGCTACTTTGTTTGTTAATGTTCTGTGTTCTGCTTTCATGTGATTAATAATATCTCAAATAGTTTCTCAATAATCCAAATGACAATTTCATTTCAAGTATCAAATAGTGTACCTTGTTCTGTTTCACTCGTCCATAGATAAATCACCATCTGAATCCAATAAACTTGAATGTGCGCGTCCGCCAGGAACAAGATCATCACCAACATCTTCATCAGAATCGCTTTCTTCTTCATCGCTACTTGATTCCTCGTCCTCGTTATTGATAACCCGACTTTGCTCCTTTTCAAACTCTTCGTCAATATCTTCTTCTTCTGCAGCTTCTTCTTTGTCTTCTTCTTCATCTTGTTCAAGTATCACGGAAAATTCTTTATCCTCTTGGCTTACAACATGACGCCCTTGAATGTCTTTCTCAATAGCCTCAATACGAGTCTGGAGTTTTCTGATGGCATTCTTTCCGGGTGTGTCCAGGTCTTCCTCAATCTCCTCTTTAAATTTATCGATGACATTCAAAAGATCCTCCACTTTTTCCAATGGAACTTGATTACCAATGTTAAATCTCGAAAGAGTCATAAGGACAGTTTTTCTGTATTTCTTTGATGGTCTGCCATCAAAAGTTTTCAAGAAATCAATGGCCATATCCAAATGAGTTGTCGTGCTGGCAACCTCATCTTCTGTACGATTCACAACGTTTGCTGGATCTGTCCAGTAAGTCAACTGTTGCAATATCAAACTAGGCGACAACAGTTGTGTCTCTTGGTCAGACATTTCATCGACATGAGCTGAGTATAACCTTGTAAACGCGTCGGCCGCAATTGAGCTCATCTTTTGTTGGTGATTTTGATGAGAGAAACAGTATACTGGTAAGCAGAATGCAAAAGCTTGGAGCAAACCTTGATTCTCTGCATTGACCGGATTATAGTAGGTCAAAACCAACGTTTCAAAGAGTTCGTCATCAGTTAAAACATCAGCTAGGTACAATTTACACAACCCTTCTGCACAAAGCGCCTGGAGCTCAGGAAACTGGTCATTTTTCAAAGTCTTGTAAAGCAATTTATGAAAAGACAGAGAATCGACACCATCTTCTGCATCCAAAACCTTTGTACCATGGACCGATAAAATATCAAACATTGCTTTGATTGCTATGAGACGAAGTTTTTGTTCACCTCTGGAAAGACAGAGACCAAATAAATAGAGCTGATCTGTGGCCAAATTGACATCAAGAAGACAACAGAGTCCCAAAGCCTCAGTTCCTAGTTCTCTAATATGAGGCCTTCTTGATCTAACTGCGGGGTTGAGTAACAAGTCTATAAGAGAATCCACAGACATGTGTTCTGACAACGGTTCATTCAATAATCTTAGCATGGCCTTAGCAATTGACAAACAGTATGTCATCTTTGATTCATCTTCCTTTGACATGTCCTCCTTATACTCAATATCATAGATATCTGTAATTATTTCAGACACCATTGCTGAGAAGTCTCGTTCATTGATGGATAACTTTTTCAAAACCTGAAGTGCAGCAGAACATAATTCGTCAGTAAGCTTATCATTGGCTAAAGAAGATCTCACAACTTGTAACATTGCCCTTCTTCCAATTTCATCACTAAAATCGTAATCCACGGCAATTGTCAACAACTGTAAGATTACAAAAGTGATGTCCTGTTCGTCATCATCGCTCAAATCTCTGATCTTATTTCTTTCCTGCAAGTATTTTGTCAATAGGGCAGCCAATTCAGCAGATTCTGGATAGTTTGCATCAATCACATCGTTCAATGTATTTTCGTTGCAGTGCTCATAAAATGATCTTGCTAAAAACGCAATTTCTGGAGTCAATTTACTCCAGATCTCTTGAGGAAAAGTAATCTTTGAGGTGAGATCCCTTCTAAGGTCAAAAAATTTCTTCATTGCAAGCTCTGCAACTTCAGAAGTGGAGATATGTAGTCTCTCCAAGAGTTCGATTAGATCACCATCTACGGTGGCAAGCCAATCTTGGCCAAACATTTTCACGCACGCCTTTTGAACTGATTCATCACGATCTTTCAACCCCCACGATAACAATTTTTCCCTTGTGCTGGAGCGAATAGTTCTGAAATCACCAATTTCTTTGACAACCCTTGAATAGACCAATCTTCTATTGATAGCATTTGTATCTCTGGCTCTTTCCAACAAGTAGTTCGTTGTTGTTTCATTCTTGACCAAGTTCAACAATGCCGCTCTTCTAACTTCAGGAGAGGGATCATTCTGAATGGCCACAATGAGTTTACCAGTGGCCTCATCTATTTCTTCACCATCTTGGAATCTTGCTATGCAGTGCAATGCCTTGATTCTGATGTATGGTTCCTTATCGTGGATTCTCTTGTCCAATTGGAACAACAAGGACTCGTAAAGCTCGTCATCAATCTCACGCATACCTCCCATGATGAAGTCTAAGAGCTGTACCACTCTGTAGCGCACCGTCTTATCCTTACTCTCGATACCTCGGAGTAGATGTGTAATGAACATATGAATAAATCTCGAGCTGAGTGTATCTTCTTCCCCCTCGTCTTGTTCCTCCCCTTCTCCTTTTTCTTCCTCAACGTCATAGTCATCTTGCAACGTTGTGATAAACGCACAGACTAACTTCGCAATACGGTCCCCCACAGGTTCCGTCCTCTTAACGACCAACACCTTGTTGATCAGAGTACAGAACACATCGTTGAATGAGTCTTCGAGGCCTAAGGTGTTAGCACGTTCTTGAAGGGCTCTAATCATTATGACCTGTCTCTTATGGCCAGTCATGGAACCCTGAGAGTCCTGGAACACCTTGGCTAGGTGCGCATGGATTTCTTCCGGCGTCTTTAGCTTCTCGGTGAGAAGACTTGTTTGTTTCCTAACCGCTGTGGACATTCTCTCTTTGCTTGTTTGGAAGTGCTTCGTTCCTACGACGCGTTTTGTTTGTTTTGATTTTGATTTTGTGTTTTTGTGTTTGTTTTGATTTTTCTGGTTTGTTTACATTTCAGTGCTCTTGGTGTACGGTTGTAAATTTCACTCGGGAGGGTAACTTTGCTATCACCTTAATCTTATACGACACACTCTATACCTCACCATTATTTCGTAAGCAGCTCCTTGTTGGAAGAGCTGATAGTAAATGTTGTGTGTCTAGCTTGCTGTATAGGACCCATGGTGTGTATTTAGTAGTCGATATAAAGCTTCAAGTTTTAAGATATAAAACTATGAAGAGGTCTCTCAAGTATATTAATAGAAAAGTGGCTGTATAAGCCGTCTGACCCAGTATTGGCTTGTAAATGTGCTATGTACGTTAGTTTTAAGATATATAGACACATTACAAGGTCAACAAGCCTAAAAGGAGCACGGTCAGCAGAGTGTTGGCCACCTTGCTTGCAGCTGACCCTTCGTAAGTGGACAAAGAAGCAACCTCTGCAGTGGTAACACTGGCAGGTACAACGGTTGTTGACTTGTCAGTCATCTCGCCATTGCCATTTTCATGTGTGGTTCTTCCTTCCGCTGCTGTCTCTGTCACCTTTGTAGTGACTGTGATGTCAGTCTCACTGGTTATTTGGCCTTCGCTTCTAGTTATGGCAGTAGCAATAGGAACATTGACTGAAGTAGTCAACACATCAACACATGTTTCGTCACAGGTTATGACTATCTCAGTACAGACCTCCACCTCGCACGAAGTCACAGTGATGACTGTGGTCTCAGGTTCAAGTGGACAGTAAGTTGTGTAAGAGGTGACAGCACCATTTTCAAAAGTGGTCACAACAGTCACTCCTGTCGTGATGTCTGTAGTGAAACATTCAGTCTCTTCACAGGTTGTGATGGTTACAACAGTCGTAGAGAGGTTCTCGAGCTTGGTTGTAGATGTAATGGTGTTGTTAGAGTATGAGACGTCAGAAGAAAGCACAGTGATATACTCTCTTTGTGAGACTGGTTCGCTGGAAACCTCCAAACTGGTGGTGGATACTCCAGAGTCTGTTATAGGCTCGCTGGAGGTCTGTTTGGTGGCATCAGAAAGTGATTCTGCAGAGGGTTCGGTGGATGGCTCGCTGGATGGCTCGCTTGATATCTCTCTGGATGACTCTGCAGATGGCTCGCTTGATATCTCGCTAGATGGCTCGCTAGATGGCTCGCTAGATGGCTCACTGGATGGCTCGCTGGATGGCTCGCTGGATGTCTTGCTTGATACCTCGCTTGATATCTCGCTGGGTGGCTCACTGGATGGCTCAGATGTAGATGGATTGGTGCCTGAAGGTCTGAAAACAAAATCAACCTTACGTGACGGTAAATGATTACAATTGACATCATAAAAATCAGTGTACATGATCCGGATACATCCATCATACGTGAATCCATCTGGAAGATATTCTTCACGACTTGTTCTGCCTGTTGTCCGGTCACACTCTGGACTCAGAAGATATGTCTCACCACCTTTGGTTATTGCAACTTCTCCTGCATGGTCGAATGCATCGATATCTTTACTTGAAGCAATAATGTAATAACCTTGTTCCAAATTGACAACCATTTCGCTTGGTGCCATGAAATACTCGTCCAGTTCTCCGTTACCTGCAATCAAGAATTGGATGTTGGTAACGTCATCATAATTTTCAGTGAAATTGAAGAAGAAGTAGTACTTGTAATAAGTATCATGTATCACAGGGTCCACAACCTGATCTGTCCATGTGATCCCATTGTATGAAAAACCGCTAACATCAGTTGAACGGAAGTTGACCCCATAGCAGTCAAGCGTGTTTCCGCCAGAAGTGTAAGTGTAAGAGTAAGAAAGGTCATATGTGACGGTGTGGGTCTCAAATGCAAAATCTGCGGTTACTTCCTCACCAGCTGCAGCTGGAGAAGCAACTACCAGCGCAATAGAGATGGAAAATATAAGCAATAAGCGATTGAATAATTCCATTGAAGAGCTTTGAGTGTTGAGAGAGACTTGCAGTCTATGGATTCAGAGGACTTTGCTACAAGAAGATGGGCTTTTATGTTGAAAGTTCCCGTCAAAGAGTGCAAGTAGAACCATGGTCAATACATAATAAGCTTTGCCCCTAAGGACCCAAATGCAAAGCGTAAACAGTCGAGATTTGACTAGTCCATTATCGTACCATACGGTATTTGGTGTTTGGCACGTACCACCACTCCCAGCCTTGTGAATATCGCATGATTTGGTCAGATATTGGCTACAATTGGCCTGTAATACCCATTTTGAAGTTCATGGTCGAATAATTGGAACCTACAGCTTTTAACAAGGTTTCAACCCTATCTACAGAAAGGGAAACGAGTTAATCCCTTAGTATGCAGACTGTGCATTGTGTGTGCTTTAATACCAGCTTTAAAAGATGTTTTTGAGATGTAAGGCTGACAAAACCAGCATACAACCAGTTTTTAGACTCTGCCTCACTGATGACAATGTGGATGCTAACCTCGTGAGCCAAATACTGTTGCATTATTCATCCCTGTGTGAGTATCCTTGAATGACTTGGCGATGAACAGCACGGCCAGTTGAATGACTTAAAAATGAACTGATTAGATATAATTGGGCATCGTGTAAAACACAATAAAGCGTATATTTCATCAAGCACATTGAGGTGGCTTAGAAAGTCATCGTTGATGGTTTGACAGGTCTTCTCTGGGCTCAAAGCCCCTTCCATTCCGTATTCTATTGTATAGCCCTATGGAAAGCTAAGCTGAGTTATTTTAGCTTTGACGGTGATAATAAAGTCCAACACTGCCATTGGTCGGTCTGGAGACTCAATGTCAGCCTTGCAAGGGCTAGAACATGAGGATACGGCTTTATATTCCATCGATCATACCCCAGCTGGTGTCTACTTTGCACTGAAACATTTGTAGCTCCTTGGTGCTTGACACTAGGCCAAAGTACTTCTAATAAGCAGTATGTTGTATGTAAGTAGATTGTGCCATTCTAATGAGAATACACGATTAACAACCACTATTGACAACTGTGTAGCAGACAACTGGCATTAACCCTGAGATCGTGAAAGGCACTTGGTAGTAAGGCAGTCTATAGCTAAAAAGGTTCAGCATTCCCTTAACTAATTAGGCCTCTGGGAAGCCTGCATGCAACTTAAATCTGTATTATTTCTAATACATCTTAAATATCTTTTGCATAAAGTCACAATCTATGGGATGTGGAAGCTGGAAGTTTGATGTTGGAACCACAGGTGTCGAAATATAACTTGGTGTACAAGTGTGGGTTCAAATCTTTAAAGGACAACCTACATCCACTGATTCCTCCACCTGATTCATATTTCTAACTCAACAAGTGCCTCTGTGCCTAGAACATCCCTTTCCGTCCTAAATACACAGTGGTACACTTCATAAACAAAGCATGGGCCTCATAGCGTTATGGTCCCCAATATTTAATGCTTAGATATTAAAATACTACTGCTCGGGACACCGGAGAAGCCCTTGCTTAGCATATCCACACACCAGAAGCCCACATCACGCCCACCAATACAAGGCAAGCTCTTGCAACATCAGCTAACTTCGAAAGTTGTGTTTAAAAGGATGTTATCACCATTGTCTGCAGGCATTTTCCTGTTGTGAGGCATCTCGTATGCTGTTTTGGTCTTTCACCTATACGTAAGATGCCGTTCAAAAGAATGGTTAGTGGATGATATTGGCCCGGTACTGCCAAAGTATTTCAGTCGCACCACGTATGAGTACGCTTTAGATAGACTTTATGAATACATAAGCTCTATCAGACGCATGCTGATGTTCTTGCCTGTTGATATCTCTTGAAAGGGTTCGTTGAAGGTACAGCTGTCATGGGATGTAGAACTTTTTAGTCTAGCAGGGTTAACAAGATGACACCTTGATATAGAGACTAATCCCATCGTGGTAGTATCCATTCATAGTTATAATAAAATAGTAGCATATATAGTGTTATACAGTAATCTGAGGTTTTATTTCAGAATAACAATAATCCAAAAATAGCAATGGCCAAGATAGAATTGGATATAACTGATGGCGCAGATCCCTCAAATGTGGTTATAGCTATTTCTGACTCGGCAGCACCAGTAGTACCGGCAGCACCAACAGTACCCATAGCACCAGTCGATCCCAGGCCGATATTGGAAGAAGTGGTAGCTCCTCCAGAGCCAGCCACATTGGTAGTTATTGAAGCCTTTGTACTAACAGGCAGTGCTTGTGTTATTTCTTCTCCTGATTTTATACCAGTACGTGAAACCATAGTAGATGCCCTAGTAATAGTGGCTTCTTCTAACGTAACCGTTTCAGTAATAGCTTTTGAGGTCTTAGCTATGCCTTCACCTATACTTGTTGTAACAGTGACTTTAATAGTTTTGGTTATAGGAACTTCACTGCAAGTCTCACCTACACAAGACTCAACAGTACTTGTGACCACTTGGGTATAAACCTTTGGAGTTTGAGGAACTTCGCAGAAAGTAGTGTAAGTCGCCAGCTTGCCATTTTCAGTCGTTGTAATCGTAGTGATGCCGGTAGTAACAGGAATCTTTGTACAAATGTCTTCCTCACAAGAAGTGACTGTAATAACGGTGGTTCTCAGATCGAATTCAGTGGTGGTTGGGCAGTATGTAGTGTAAGAAGAGACAATACCATTCTCTGTAATGGTTATAATGACTACTCCTGTTGTCACTCCTGTTGTAATACATACATCTTCATCGCATGATGTGACAGTTATTACAGTTGTGGAAATGTCTTCAATTGTACTGGTTGATGTGATCTCAGCTTCTGCAGTGAAGACAGAAGTTTGAGACGATGAGCTTTGTACTGATTCTGAGATAGAGCTGGTAGTCTCTTCAGATAACTCTGAAACAGAGCCTTCTGGCGAACCAGAAGGCTCTAACACGGAGCTGCTACCTGATTCTTCTGAAGATAACAGTGATGACATAGAGGATGAAACCGTAGAAGAGCTTATCAAAGCCTCAGATGATGAATTGGTAGCATTTCCCTCAATCGTTGCCTCTAAGGTCCATTCCAAGAATGATGATCTCTTAGACAATCTGGTGTCATATGGAACTTCCATCAATATTGTAACTATGGAGGTCCAAATAGAAGTATCAGGGTATGGTTCTCCACTTACTGCAAAGTTGACAATGTTGGTCTCTGATATATTTCCTGGCACTTGGAAAGCAACGGTGTCAGGTGTCAACATGCTTTGATTGAAAGTGTTTACACTGTCAATATACCCGAGACCTAAGTTGTAACTGTACTGATTGTTTTCAGTACCATTGTTGGAAAAGGTGACATAAAGTGAAATCCACGGACCAAGGTTCTCTGGAATGGTTAAAGTCCAGACAAGATCACCATAACTTGAGTAGCTAGGAACTTCTCCTTCTTGGAAACCGGATAGATCAAAATCATTCGCACTAGGCGTAGAAGTTGGTCTGACGATGTTTGAAGACTCACTAATGCTGGACTGTGTCTCCATGCTAGTGGAAGAGCTACTCATTTCAGGAGGAATAGAAGATGAAATCTTAGAAGATAGGTTCGCAGTTGACGAGCTCACACTTGACGAGCTCACACTTGACGAACTGGAAGTTGACGAGCTCACACTTGACGAACTCACACTTGATGAACTCGCACTTGATGAACTCACACTTGACGAACTGGCAGAAGATGGGCTCGCGGAGGTTGAGGTAACAGTTGCTCGAACTTTTGGCCACACATATGAACCTTCCTGGTCTCTTGCTTGTACCGTGATATCTGCTGTTGCAACCCAAACTGTACCGTTTGTTATTCCCGTGTTGAACAAGAGAATCAAGCTACCATCTTCATCTGGATTTTCATAACAATATGCACGACCAGTAGAAGGACCATATAAGTAAAAGCTAAATTGCTTCACCTCAACACCATCAATGTATCCAGCTGCATCTGTGAAGTTATATCCATCATATTCAGTTCCATTGCGGGTTAACCAAACGCTCACATATGTCCATATGCCTGCTGCTCCCGGGAACTCCACTTCCCAAGTGAGTTCATCATCAACGTAATATCCAGACAATACTGGAGATGCTGTTGGAAGCATGGAAGTTGTTGACGGCATATCCGGTGCTGAAATTCTTAACTCGTTTGCATACATATACTCATAAGTGCCATCTTCCAAAATGAACATCACCTGGACTATAGCACTCCATTCATACTCTGCATATGGATCTGCATAAATGTTTAATACAAAAGATCCATCTTGCTCAGCAAAGGCACCTGAATAATTTGCGTATACTTGATCGTCCGTTATGTTTGTGAAAAGATGCTCTTCTGTGCTTTTACCATCGATTATTAGCTCCACGTTTGTGAAATTATAATCGTCTCTGATGTAAGGCTTTTTCTCTGCTGTTATTGAGACCGACTTGAGAGGCCCGTAAGTACTTGGAATTGTCAATGTCCAAACCAAAGTTTCGTCAGCGTATTCACCAGATACTTCTGGTGTAGATGCTGGGGTTGTCACTTCAGGAAGAACAGCAGTTGGATTTCCAGTATTGGTTCCTTCAGAGGCGCCAGGAGATGTACTTGAACATCTTGTAGACCCTGTTGGCTCTATAGCCAAAGTTTCACAGGCAGACAGTGCTGCAGTCAAAAATTGTGCATAGCTATCCCATAATGTCCAACCACAATCCATACACGCTGGGTAGTAAGACAGGAAGTCAGAGGTTGGTGAGCAGAGACAATCAGTATCGTAAGGACCAGAGTAAGAATCGGTCTCATTCAAAGAACAATATTTAGCGACTGTAACAAGGGTGTCACAAGATGACATGCAGTCATAAGAAGCACACACATTGTACTCATCGTTCGAGTCAGCGAGTCCATTGGCGTTTGCGTGGGGTTTACCAGCCGGTAAACCACAAGCCAATGCGATGAAGAAAAGTCTCGACCCTAAAGAAGTAAAAAGGCCTTTCATGTTTCTGTTGTTCAGATAAGGATTATAAAAGGCGTCTCAGAGTCCTCCATATCAGCAAACCGAGTTCATTATATACGTATCAGTCTCACCTTCCAGCTCTCATTCCAACTGGACGACAAAGCAACTGACCACATCAGGCAATGCCAAGGTTATACCCTCCAAAACTCAACAAATAAGATTACACAGGTCGGTCCATTGTTTGTGCTCTTTCCTCCTCTGGTCATGACTCTGTTTCCCATGCTCTGACCAATAACTTTCTCATAAAAGTTCAGAGTTCTAAAGCCAACTCGAGAGATGTAGACTTGACGCACAATATGCATGCGTTATGCAATATAACAGCAACCGGACCTAAAGATACATGACGATGCACCTTTATGAAACTCTAAAGCTAGTTCGCCATTTTGAAACTTGGAAACCAGTCGATTGCCACGGCAGCAAAATCTTTTACAGGGTTTTGGAGCATTGGGGAACCAAACAGAGAGTTGCTGTATTCTCAATCTTCTCCAAATCATTGGGGTTTGACACTGTCCTCGAACAATTAATGCATCTAATATGACGCCAGTGAGACCCAAAGAATATTAGTACGCGATGTTGAGGAATGATTAGTGTGTATTGATTGAGTTCTAATCTCATGTTATCTTTCAAATACCATAATAAAAGTGTCATTATCACTTCAATTTCAAACACCATGCAAGTCAGTATGTGACTGTTCAACTTTTACCTGCAAAATCTGCAATTAGAGATAAGTGAATTGGCCAGGGACATATCTGTTCCTCTTGTCCATTGGTTTAGGTGTTGGTTGCCATATTGAGTCCGAAATCGTCATTCTTGCTGATACCCAACTCTAACCATGTTCTGGGCTTTGAATCCACAGTTGTTGGGTGAGAAAAGCAGCACTGGGAATACCCATCTTCAGCAACAATATGTGAAATGGTGCTCTATGACCCAGAGATTATGAGGCGTAGTTACCTTGAGTTCCAGATCACGATGACGTTGTAGGACTTCCAAATAGACTCAAAACAACACGTTTCAAGCACTCAATATGATGGCGATCTACTGCTTACTCTGCAGCCATTCAATTGGCTACAGGCATGTTATCACCACACGAGGTGGGCCAATGTCATTAAAATCACTCAACAACTTGGTAGACATGTACCAAAACTTTGTACTGCCTTACTTGAAGCACACCTGGTGCTGCTCGATGTGGTGCTACATATCCTCATAGTTCAAAATTCAGTAGGAATTACCCAGCTCCTGGCCTCTCTAACAACTACATATGCCTGATATGACAAATTTCCCAACTCCATGTACTGAGTTCACAGTCTCAAGTTCCAGCTTCCTCGGCAGAAAACACATTGACAAGAAAGAACAGCATTGTCCTTCAACTCACCTATGGCTCCACCGATCAAGCCCGAGGTCCAAACGCTCCTAAGACGTGAGCTGTTATATAACGACCCTAATAATGCCAAATGGTGTTTACCGAGGATCAAACCAAAACACCCGGACATTTTGAGAAAAAAGGTCAAGCACTTATTACGTAATGTTTACGTAATCAACCTCATCGGTTCGGGCAGCATTGTCTCGGTGAAAGTTTTCAGAGCTGTGAAGTGAAAAGTTTACGATGAAGTTTCGAAAAGATATAAAACACACATTCGATATAAAGAACTTATTGGCCGTGGAAGTAAGTGACATGGAGGTTCATCGTTGTAGATTTGTGGATTACACGCCACATACGATCACATCATTGGCGTTTTCTTATCCCTCAACTGCGAAGTTTGCTCCCAACGATCTCAGATTAGCAGTTGGACGTAATAATGGTGATGTTGAGATTTGGAACCCAAAGAACAAGTGGGTGCATGAGCTGACTCTGTACGGTGCTAAAGAACAAAGCGTTGAGGGCCTGGTCTGGTGTAGTCCAGAGGGGGAGTCTCCTAGGCTTTTCTCCATTGGAGGCACTACAAAGCTTACTGAATGGGATCTGAAGACTGGTAAGGTGCTTTTGGAATATGACTGTAACGCTGCAATTATATGGTCGTTGGCTAAAAACGAGAGCCAGGATAAGATTGCCGTAGGATGTGATGACGGTACTGTCGTGGTTGTTGACATCTCTGGTGGAGTTGGGAGTATTGAGCATTATGCCTTCTTGCAAAGACAAGACGCTAGAGTATTAAGTCTATGCTGGAAAGGTGACTCGCATGTCATTGGTGGATGTGCAGATGGTAAAGTGAAAGTTTGGAGTTGTTCGCCTTCAAGTAAGAGACTTGTCTCGTCCATGAAAGTCGACAAGAGTAAGACTGAGAGCACACTGGTCTGGTCGGTGCTCTATCTTCCAAATAAGGATCAAATCGTCTCTGGTGACTCAACGGGTTCTGTCAAGTTTTGGGAGTTCTCTAGCTTCACCCTCTTGCAAAGTTTCAAAGTCCATGAAGCTGATATCTTGACGATCTCTACGGATCTGAACAACAACTGTGTCTTCACGGCAGGTGTTGATCGTAAGATCTTCAGATTCCAAAACATTGAACAGCAAAAGAATCAGAAATGGGTCAACCTCTCCAATAGGCTCTTCCATTCCAATGATATCAGATCGATGGCAACTTTCGAATCTAAAAATCTGAATTTGTTGATATCAGGTGGTGTTGAGAAGAACATTGTCGTTTCATCCATCAAAAGCTTCGCCGATGGACAGTACAGAAAACTGAGCATAATACCACAGAGAAAGCACGTTGTGATGAATCGTGAGCGTAAACTGGTTGTCATGTGGCAAGATCAAACTGTCAAGATCTGGAGACTTTTACAGAAGATCGTGGAGGTTGATTCTGATGAGGAAATGATCAATGGTCATGAAGCAGACGATGGTGTTGAGCAATTGAAGGAATCATTCGAACTGGTTGCCAAATTGACACTTTCAGACGAGGAAAACATCACGCAGTGTGCCATCTCCCAGGATGGGACCATTCTTGCAGTGGGAAGACTTTCCACTACGAAGCTATTCCAATTGAATGAAAAGCAAGGAACAAACGGGTTGAAGGTTTCCAAAATCAACAATTCCTCGATCAATGCCCTTGGCAGCTCACACTTAGAATTCTACGGTAATGATCAACTGATTATGGTTACACCGGAGAATGAGATTTACAAGGTCAGCCTGGAATCTGACGATATCGTTGAATATTCGCTAACAGACCTTGCAAAGTCCAAATCAAAATTATCGTATTGCGAGAATGTTACTCACATTGCAATTACACATTCCAAGCTGATCGTATGTCGTTCTGGTGCCCTGGATGTTGTCGAATTGGACAACGACTTACAACTGGAATCCATGCCGTTCCTGAGGCTATCCAGTTATGTCGTTCGTATTTCGATTTCCCAGGCTAACAAGAGTGTTATTCTCATCACACATGAGAACAAGATCTATGAATTTGACCTTCAATCGTCGCATTTGACATCATGGTCTAAGGCTAACTCTGAGTTCCTTCCAAGGGAATTCTTGCAGCTACAAGAATCTCCGTTGGGCATGTTCAACGTGGGCACCAGACTATGGGTCTATGGTTCCAATTGGATGAGCGTCTTCGATATGCAGATGAATGTGCCAATGGACAAGAAAGAAACCAAGAAGAGATCCAGAGCTGGTGTTGTGATTGGCCATACTGAAGAAGACGTTGAAAGTGATGAAGAGCCTGAGAATGAGAATGGAGATCTTGAGGTCTCTAGAGCCGAGATTAAAAACGGCAAAGAGGGAGGAATTGCATACCAGTTAATCAACAAGTACAAGAGTATTCTGTTTGCTGGTAATCTAACCGATGATGAGCTGATTGTCGTTGAAAGACCCCAATTTGCGATCAAGCAACCACCAGCGTTCAAACTATCTCAATATAGAGTATAACAATAAAGAACAAGCTTATAATAATCAAAGAGAACGTTTAAAGAGCCAAACAAAAAATATATATATCATTGTCATTCGGTTCGTTATATGTACAAGTACTGTGTGTACGGAATAATACGCACTCAGGAATCAATCATGTGGTTTTCCGTTGATTCTTGGGAACAGTCTCTCCGTGTGGTAGTTGATCGACGATCTAGCAGCCTTGGTTCTGACTCTATTCTCCATACAACCTTTCAGGTTCTGTTCAAGTTCTTTACACAGTGCACTACCCTCACCGTTTGAAGACCAACAGTTCAATAGGGAGGACATAAGAACCGTACAAGGCGACACCTGTTGTTCCGAAGCAGAGTTCTTCACACGAAGTCTCTCGAGCTTCGGCAATCTAACGGCAGCTGCTCTGTTCGACGACATCTCTTCCTTGTGTTGTATATCTTTATTCAATTCTCTTAACTGCTCTGGCTTGAAAAGTTCTCGACGTGCTGGGCAAAAAAAAAAGTAGCGGGATAAGTGGTGTCTGGGTTATTTAGTGTCCGGGTGTTTCACGTATGTCTGGGTGTTTCATGTATGTCCGGGTGTGACGATTTGTGTTTTCCCCGTTCGGTAGGGTAATGTCCCTTCGAATGGTCACCAACCAAAAAAAAACAAAACAAAAAGGCCTTTAGAACAACACCGAAAACCAGCGACACGCTGTGTGGGACGGGAAGTGAAGACTAAAAGAACAACGTTACAAGTTGGCCTGGTTGGTTGCCTGTTTGCCTGGTTGGTTTGGTTGTTTTTGGAACTCGATTGGACTCATTTCTATTTTGTCGTTGAAGAGCTGATTGCTTCTTAGTTCCTCTTCGTGTGTGCGTTTGTTTGTTTTTTGCAGAGAGACACTTCTCAACATTATTCCCCAAGAAAGAAGAGAGCATGAGCAATAATACCGCCAATAAGAGGCCTTTGGGTGATATTAAAGCGGATGGTGAGCCAGTGCTGAAGAAAGCAACGTCGTCTAAGGACGTTGCGAATTCGTCTTTGACCTCCACTCCCGTGTCAGAGCCTGGAACCTCTCACAATGTTGGGCCTGCGAGACCCCAAATAACAAAGATCGATGGGAAATGGGTATTCCCCGAGATTACCAAAGAACAGACTGAAGAGGCAAAGAGGTTCTTAAAAGACAAAGGAGTTATAAACTTCTTGGATAAGTACCTGCCTGACTCTCCGAGGGGCTCTGATATCGTCTATATCACTGGTTTATTGGGGTTCTTCCCTTTCAGCATGACGGAGGACATTGACGACGAGACAAACTTGATGAAAGTTGTAAAGACATTACAGAGGGCTATGAACAAAGTCATACATAACCGTTTGAGAATCACAGATATGAATACCGTCGCACAGGCCGTGGACGCTATCAAATCTGCTAAGAACATCATCGTGCTGACAGGCGCAGGTATATCGACATCCTTGGGGATTCCAGATTTCAGATCTGCAAAGGGTATCTATTCGCTGGTTGATGACCTAGGATTGGATGACCCTCAGCAGGTGTTTGACCTCGAAACATTCCGTTATGACCCTGAGATCTTCTACAAAGTGGCCCACATGATCTTACCTCCAGAGGGGAAATGGACCCCAACCCACGCTTTCATCAAAGAGCTCAGTAACCATAACAAATTGTTGAGAAATTATACTCAGAATATCGATAACTTGGAAGCCTCTGTTGGAATACCGAAGGATAAATACATCCAGTGCCATGGTTCCTTTGCACACGCAACTTGTCGTACTTGTGGATACAAGGTCGATGGGACAAAGATCTTTCCAGTTATTAGAGCTCAACAGTTGCCTGTGTGTGCACGCTGCTTCACAGAACGTAAGCAACGACTGCAGAAATCCGACTCCGTGGGAGATTTGGGCATTATGAAGCCGGACATCACTTTCTTTGGTGAAGATTTACCGCGTGTTTTCTACGAGAACTTACCAGATGATATCAGGAAGTGTGATTTGCTCATCTGCATCGGAACCTCGTTGAAAGTTGCTCCTGTTAACGAAATCGTGAACAAAATTCGACCAGAGGTACCCCAAATCCTCATCAACAAAGATGACATTTCCCATGCTGAGTTCGACATCTCACTATTAGGTTACTGCGATGAAGTTACTGTTTATTTGACCAATAAACTCGGTTGGAGTTTGGAGGTTGAAAACTATAAAGAATTGGCTTCACAACGCTTTGAAGTTGAAGAAGAAGACAAAACATTGGGTGTCTATCAGGTCCATACACTTAAAGATTAGAATCAAGACTCAATAAACTATACATTTCAAAAGGGTTTGTAATGTATTTATGTGTGCGTACAGGTTAACAGAAAGGTGTAGCGTATAAAATCGAAATTAAGGGAAAAAACATACAACCAAATCAAGTGATAACGTCTGGATCTTCTCTTCCCAAGAATTGTTTGAAGCCGAGGTACTTCACAACTTGTGCAATCTCATCTTTCAAATATTCCGTGGTTTTCAATCCATAGGAGCTTGCATCGTCAGAGTACTTCTCAATGTACAATCTCACAGTGGCACCTGATGAGCCGGTCCCTGACAATCTAACGACAAATCTTAACCCATTTGACAACTTGGCGTACAAACCTTGGTGCTTTGACACAGATCCATCCAAATCGGTATATTCAAAATCACCACCATCGGTGAACGTTACACCTTCAGAGAATTCCTTGCCCTTGATGCTGCCGCTGGTGATAAATTCTCTAAACTTATCAACAAGCTCGTTGGCACCTTCGCTGGCAACATTCTCGTAGTCGAATCTTGAAAAGAAGATTCTGCCATACTTCTCCCAGAACTTATCTTGGACAACTTTGATGGAGACTTCCTCACCTGGGTGTGATTCTGCATAAGCAGCAAGGACGTTCAACCAGGCAATGATTGCCCAAATACCATCTTTTTCTCTAACGTGGTTTGAGCCTGTACCAAATGACTCTTCACCACAGATAGATAGCTTCTTCGCATCAAACAAAGCACAGAAGAACTTCCAACCGGTTGGGACCTCATAACAGTTCAAACCCTTGTCCTTTGCAACCAAATCCAAAGCAGCAGATGTTGGCATGGATCTTGCAAGACCGTACACACCTTGCTTCTTGAAGTAAGGGATATGGTCTGCATATTCTGCAATGATTGCAACTGAATCACCTGGCGAGACAAAAGTGCCTGCACCATAAATCATGTTTCTGTCACCGTCACCATCGGAAGCAGCACCAAATGCAATGTTCTCAGCGTCAACCCTTTCAACCAAGGTATGTGCGTATGTCAAGTTTGGATCCGGGTGCAATCCACCAAAATCAGGTTTTGGAACGCAATTTTGGATGGATGACTCTGGCAATCCCAATTCATCGATAAAGATTGCCCTACCGTAAGGACCAGTGATACCGTTCAATGCGTCAAACAAAACCTTAAACCCAAGCGGCTGTTGATCCTTGATGAACTTTTTGATGAGCTCAAAGTCAAAGATCTCTTTCAAGAACTTAACGTACGCCTCGGTGGTGTCGATTATCTCCACGGTCAACGAGCCGTACTGAGTTGTTCCCAATTCACTCAAGGACACCTCTGGTAGATCCTTCTCGATCTTGTACTCCTGCAAGGCCAAACTTGCTGCAAACATCTTGTTTGTAACGCTCTCAGGCGCTGGACCACCATTGGCCAAGTTGTACTTGATACCCATGTCGTTCTTTGGACCACCCGGGTTGTGTGAGGCGGTCAAGATGATACCGCCCGTTGGGTCATCCGGATGGGATCTGATGACATGGGACGTTGCAGGCGTGGACAACAACCCGTGTTGGCCAATGATCAGCTTCTTCACCCCGTTGGCTGCGCCAATCTTCGCAATCAGCTGGATCACAACGTCGTTGTAATAACGGCCGTCTCCGCCAATCACGAGCGTAGCGCCCTCAGAGCCTTCAGGGATCGACTCCATGATCGCCTGGATGAAGTTCTCGGTGTAGTGTGGCTGTTGGAACACCGTCACCTTCTTACGGAGACCAGACGTTCCCGGCTTCTGGTCGTTAAACGCCGTGGTAGGAATCACCTCAACTGTCATTCTGCTGTGTAATTGCTGCTCTTTGTACGCTTTGTTGATTGTTTGGCAACATGGTTTTGTGGTTCGAATTGACAGCAGCCGCCGTGGGTTTTTATACGTCACGGAGAAATTAGCCGCCCAAGGACACCAGGCGGAAAAGATCAGGGAACCGTGACGAAAACGGAAGTGGTTACGAGCCCGTGTGCGATGGCCCATTAGGGTAAAATTCATTCTGCTTTGGAGTGTGTTGCTCCATGGGTGGGCTCCTTGAAGCGGTGTTTTGCTGCTTCACTCTGTCCAATTGGATGGCGGGTCTTCTCTCCCGTGTGCTCCGTAACTAACAGTGCCTTTGTAGTTGCCAGTTCTTCCCTTTGTTCTCTCTCTGTGTGTGTGTTGCTGTCCAATCACGCTTTGCCTCTGTCCAGCGAGGCTATAGAACGCTGGGGTAACCACAACAATGGGCTGTCATTTCTGCCTGGGGTTGCCTTTTTCTGGGGGGAGGGATGGGGGTGCTGCGGGCCGAGGAAAACCATCACCAGATGTATTGGCAAACCAAAGCGGAGGCCTGGCTGTAGCGCTGGTGCTTGGAGAGAGGCGACGTGTTGGACTGTAAAGGGGACACTGTCTGCGCCTTTCAGAAGTACAGTGCCACTCCAATTGGTTTATACGTCGCATGGTTGGTGGCACTGATGTTTTTATAACATAGCGTCTGGGTTTACAGCGTTGCTTGTTCCAATGAAGCATGTTGGAGCTGTGCGGCTTGCACGGTCCATGCTGACGATCACCGTTGCTCTGTTGCTCTGTTGAAGCTGATGGATGTTCAGCGGCCAGCGCTCAATTGGATACCGCGAGGAAGCACAGATATAGCTGCTGCGTATAAAATACGCCGCCGGTGCGCTCTAAACTATTACTCTTGGGCAGTTGTCCAGCGCTTGGACTTGTAGTCGATCAAGCCGCTATAAAGCCTGGCAGAGCCCAAGGGAAGTTTCAATAAAGGCTCGATCTGAAGATAGGGCCCGTCTCGATGATAGGCCCGTCTCGATGATCGAAATGCTGTCTTGCGACCAGCCGATACCAAAATACACCTAAATTTTCTCGTTGCTGGAAGCGCTAAGTCTCCTTCCTGCCTTTTAAGGAAGTTCTTCGCTCAGCTTGTACAAACAAAGCGCGTTGATCCCTTAGTTGATTCTTATGCAGCACGATAAGAACACAACGTTGATAAGCACACAAACGAATTGGGGGAAAGTGGTGAATCTATCCTATCAACCGTTATCTGTGCGTGCTGTGTACTTTAATGGACTATATAACGCATGGGGAGTGCCTCTATACCTGTTTTACGTTCATTGATATCCGTCTTTAGCCCATAGGAAGAAATGACGTTTTCCATAAGACCAATAGAGGAAAAGGATAAAGCGGAATGGTTGGACATGTGGAACGGTAAAGGCTCCTACCTGGAATTCTATAAATCTCTGGACATCGTCACCCCAGAGATCACAGAGGTGACTTTTAAGAGATTCTTCGACCCGAATGAGCCAGTTTATTGTGTCGTTGCAGTTGACGACGATACCGGGAAGCTGATTGGGTTTGCAACTTATCTGACACATAGAAACACTTGGACCATTGAGGACAGCTTGTACTTGAACGACCTGTTTGTGAGAGAAGACTCGAGGTTGCACGGTGTTGGTAGAGCACTCATTGAGAAGATCTACTCGGAAGGTGACAGGCTGAACGCTCCGCAGGTTTATTGGGCCACTCAGTTTGGCAATCATAGGGCACAGATGTTGTACACCAAAGTTGGTGTCAAGAGTGGGTTTCTCTTGTATAAAAGGCCTTGAGAATAGTAGAAGTACCGGCATTTAAGGTCCAATTCGAGGCGTATATACAAATAAGACATCTCGCACCATTCAAGCTGGAAGTGTAGATGTCCATCTTCATCTGCGATGGCTTGAGTAGAAGTCATCATCATACGACAACAACCTAACATTTCCAAATACCAGAATGAGCCCGTCTTGAAGATGCTCTTTAAGTGGACTCCAATTGAGAATATGGAATGAAACAACCACTTGTGGGGCCTTATGACAGATGGCTCTTGGGCCATTCCATTTGACCGCAGGGTTGGGATATAACCCGTCGTATTATTTTTTAGCAATATCAAATGTTAACACTTGAAGCAATGCATGAAAAGGCGCTTTACAATGACCAAAGGGATAGTTTCGTGCTTGTACCTTTTAACCTTTTGTCACAGAAGATCTACAACGTACATAAACTTGTAGGGAAGCGAAGACCGTGTCGCCAACCCGCGCGCACCAACCCCCATTAGACGTAGATGACTCATATAACCCATAACAACTACACGTAGGTAAATTTCAATTATGACGAAGGAACACCAGGAGGATGTGTATAAAGTCAACTATAAAAGGAACCGTATTGTTCATTTTGGAATACCAAAGAACAGTGAAAGCCAGCTGGGTAGAGCCGATTTCAAATGACATTCACTGTAAGACCAATTGAAGAGAAGGATAAGCAAGAATGGCTGGACATGTGGAACGGCAAAGGTTCCTACTTGGAGTTCTATAGCTCCTTAGGCGTAGTTACGCCAGAAGCCACTGAAAACACTCTAAAGAGATTCTTTGATCCAAATGAACCAGTTTATTGTGTAGTTGCAGTTAATAATGAAACCGGTAAACTAATCGGTTTTGCAAACTATTTAACACACAGAAACACTTGGACCATTGAGGACAGCTTGTACTTGAACGACCTGTTCGTGAGAGAAGACTCGAGATTGCACGGTGTTGGCAGAGCACTTATTGAGAAGGTTTACTCCGAAGGCGATCGACTCAACTGTAAAAAGGTTTACTGGTCAACTCAGTTTGAGAATCACAGGGCCCAATTGCTCTACACTAAGGTTGGGGTCAAGACTGGCTTCTTAACCTACAGAAAGCCTTAAACCACGGCTATACATAACACTTTATTACAACAAGATGAATATAAATATGACAACCGCCATTTCGAGCTGTACGATATGATTTGTTCCTTCGTGGTCTTTCAATTGTTTCTATAGAACCCTTTAAAATTAATCGTTGCTTTTCGTTAACCAAAACCCCCCAGAGTGATGAGCCCGGTCCCATCATCTTTCCTTCTTCAAAGATAATAATGATAATCATGACCATCACATGAAAAATAATAATAAATAACCATTATAATTATAGTAGTGATAATACCTTCTGTATGCTTTGTTCATCTGGTGACTTTATCCATGGCATTGGCAACGTACTCCACATTACTGGTGTTTAAACCAGCCATAGAGAACCGTCCATCCATGGTTGCATAAACGTGGAAATCATCCTTCAAGTGAGTCATTTGATCTTTGTTCAACCCGGTATAGCAGAACATACCATTCTGTTCAACAATATGATCCCAGTTCAAATCAGAGTGTCTTGTCAAATATCCATGTAACTCTTGTCTCATAGATTTGATGCGGTTGGCCATAAGCTGGACATCCTTGTTCCATTGGGCAAAGATGGATTCATCTGACAAGACTGTTTCAACCAACCTTGAGCCATGGACTGGAGGAGACGAGTAGATAGATCTTACAATTCTCTTCATTTGTGAGTCCACGTTGTTCGTAACCTCCTTTGAAGGGGTAATCAACGATACTGAACCTACACGTTCACCGTAAAGTCCCATATTCTTTGCAAACGATTGACACACAAAGGCTGTTGGCAATAAACCTTCGGTGCACTTCTCAGAAACAAGTTTCAAAAGGTACAAATCCTGCGAAAGATGACCTGATTGGAATCCTTGGTATGCAATGTCTACAACAGGGATCAACTCACGTTGGGAGATAACGTCAACGATGTCTCTCCACTGCTCCTCTGTTGGGTCCAATCCAGTTGGGTTGTGGCAACAAGCATGCAACAAAACCGCTGATCCACGCTCGGCGTTGGACAAATCATCCAACAACAACTCCATATCAATGGCATTTGTATCTCTGTTGAAATATGTATATTGACGAGGCTCGATCCCAGAAGATCCAAATATATTTGCGTGATTTGCCCAAGTTGGGTTTGAGAGATAAATTGCCCTAGATTCGTACGGGGACCATTTCTTCAAGAAATCAGCAACAAGTTTTAAAGCACCAGTACCGCTAATGGATTGTGCCATTGCAATACGATCCTCCTTTATGAGATCAGCGCCCGTTGAAAAGGAGCCATAGAGGAATTTCTTCACCAAGGAGACATAATTTGCTGTCCCTACAATTGGCGCATACTCTTCGTCAAGCTTCTGTTGGTAAACTATAGCACTAGCCATTCTAATCGACGGTAGTACGTACGGTAATCCATTGTTGTCTCTGTAAGCTCCAACGCTGAGGTTAACCCTCTGTGGGGAGCTGGACTTTGCAAACTCCTCAATGATACCCAAGATCGGATCCGCTGGAGCCTGTGATATGCCATTCCAAAACTTCGAGTTGTTGCTACGCAGCGCAACATCGGAGAGACAACCACCATGGTTTCTGCTGTTCTTTGACGCTGCCGCCGTGGATGACGGTGTGATCGCATGGCTAGCCGCCGTGGATTTGGCCGATAATGAAGCCAGTGCTCTTCTCGCAGTGATCGTAGACATCCTATTTCCAGTGATACAACGAACCCGCTGTGTGGTGAATACTCAAAGTGTTACTCACAAATAAACAAAGAGAGAAAGAAAGAAAAGCGGAAGCACGTCACTTTATACTTCCACACGTCCCAGGGTCAAACAGTTGAGAATTAACCGCCCGTTACACAAAACTCAAAAACCGATGATTCAAACCAATGGGAGAAGAACTGAGGGGAATACAAGCGAGAAGCACCCAGACACCGAGCCAAATTTATATACAACACCCAGATTTGTCACTTGGTTTTGAAGTCACAGCAACCTCTCCTATTTTCCCTTTTGGAAAAAGACGTTGAAAGAACTTTCCACACGACACAAAAGCAAAAGTGGAGAAGCTTGCCTGTTTTCTTCTGAGATGGTCTTCCTGTTCTGAATCTGTTCTTTTTTTCTAGTTTTTGTGGCACATCGCATGTCATAGCCGTTTAACTCGAAATTTTTTTCTTTCTTTTTTCGTTTTGGCCCCTTCAATTCCGACGATTCTCTGCTGCTTTTCTCCGAATCCCGCTCATTTCAAGGAGGGGAACGGGGGACTGTGGTTTGACCGTAGCGGGTGGTTGCGGGTAATTTGCGCCAATGGAACTGGGTAGGACGTCACAAGTACGAAAAACGTCACAGCAAACCAGGCGACGGCAGACTTTCCAAGAGGGGTGGGCTTGTTGCTATGTCCAGGTGTTTGTATGTACGGGTGTTTGTATGTACGGATGTATGGATGTCCGGATGTATGCGCAGCACAGGAGGATACCCATAGTTGTCGGTGATCAGATACTCAACAAGCAACAGGCAATTAACCCCAAAGTGTTCAATTGCACACATAATGCGTGTGTATGACGCATGTACAACAACATACACGAGAAAATAGTGGAAAAAAACACAGAATATATTCAAATAAATACGTCTAAACTCACCATGGATAGTGTCCATCATCCATTGACCACCCCTTTGCAGCTTGCTCGTCCCATTTCTGCTTCAAGTATGGCATAACAACATCACAGAACTTGGAATAACCTCTGTACTCCTTGACATCGTCCGACCATGACTCGATACCTTTATAGAGTCTTTCTGGAATGCCAGGCTCCTCGGCGATATCTGTCAGTGGATGGAAGTACGTTCTGATGGTGAAGGCAACGGCACCACTGATCGGCAAACGACGCAAACTCTGTCTCTCAGATCTGTAGTAGATCTGACTGATATCGGTTGCAGGTTGAGCAGTGTTCCAACCAACGTTTGGGGAATCCTCAGGCCCGATAGATATGGACCAGTCCAAATGTGGGTCTGTCTGCATGAAATAGTTGTTTCTGACAACTGGACTCTCCGGTGTCAATCTCTTGAAGAACTTATCCATGCCTTTTTTCAAATGGGTCTCGTACTTTGGCACTTCACCAGATTGGTGGATATAGGCCAATGGGGTGTTAACTTTATCCCTCAATCTCCAAAATCCCGCAAGCATGATGGCACCACCTTTCAACCAGTACTGGCTATCAGGTTGTTCAACCATGATGGCAAGGTCATCCTGCAAGAACTGAGCAGCTATCATGGATGGGTCTTCTGTAGGCTCAACGGTGTTGAACTCCTCACCAGTAGGTAAGATCTTGATACCAGTTGGTGTTCTCTCAAAAAGCGTTGGATATCTTGCAGGTAAGTATCTACGAAGCTCGCTCAAGAGTTCCATTGCGCCAGGCATGGCCTCCGGTAGCGTTCCGTAGACTTCAGTACCACGCTCTTTGATTCTTTTCTGTTTTAGTTGATGATACTTCAACCATTCGTTATCCAATTCAATCCACTCGTCGAACTTCATAGCACGGATGCCCATGGTGACGTTATATTTCTGCTTGAAGGCTCTGTAAGGTAGAGGTTTGGTCTTGTAAAGGTCCCAATTTGGATAGGGTGCCGGAAGTGGCATGACAAAGTCTTCTGGAGTCCACGTTCCAGGCTTACGATCCTTATTGTTGGCAAGCTTTGCAGGTAATGGTTTGAGTGTCTTTTTCTTTGAAACTTGTTGATACAGTGCAAATATCAATCCACTGAGGATAAGTCCTGCAAGGACCCATGCCTTTGCATCTTTTTGAGCCAACTGTTCAACGAGTCCAGAGATAAAAGCCATCCTTCTAGTTCTTTAAAAATGTCCTATCCGTTCTTTTCATACAAGCTGGAGGGTTCAGAAAGCGAAAACATGCTGCTCACCGTCGATTTAAATACTATTGTCCTAGATCATAAAACCGCATCTCTCGTTATCCTGATACCTCTGCATATTCTTACCCAATCGGGTTAAAAAGATGCCGAGCTGCACAGAGTACCAACTGATAGGAAGGTGGTGTCCAGGTGTTTACTGGCATCAACAGCCCACGAGAGCCTAACAGTTTGCCCTAAAAGGGAAAGTAGGTGCACGATTCTCTTCACTGTGTTCAGCACGCCAACCTCTCTACTTTGTTTGCAATATGGAACGACATCATACGCACTACAACGAACCACCAATTGTCATAAACAAGGACTAAATGTAAATATTACCGTAAAGGCATAATTGATAAACCAAGATTAAAAATAGAAAGAGAGGGGGGTGAACGAGAAAAGAAAAACATATACCTCTTTGTTTAGTTCAAACAAATGATTGCAGTTGAATTGATTCAGGGGCCTAGTATAAGTCCCTCAATACGTGTTGGGAGAGCTAAACAGAAAAATCAAAAAAAACATGAAAGGGACAGCTATTGACGCAATCAGATGCAGCCAATTACATTTGTTTGAAATAGGATGTCCCCCAAAAGTCATGTACACCAGAGACCTAATTGGTTGATAGGTCCAGGATTATTGTACGATTTGTGAAAGAATTCTCTTAGACTGTGGATTGGTCTTCAGAGATATAATCATCGGTGCTTAAAATCTCATAGTCCTCAAGCGTGCTGTAATCGTCATCAGTATCTTCGAGGGTAAGCACTCTTGAAAATTCATCTAGCGATAAAACAATAGTGTCTCCAAGATCGGCTTCCGGATCTAAGCTGTTAGTATCAGATCCATTTTCAGCCTTCTCCTTCAACGTTGAAATACTGGTGTTGGTCTCCTCGACGCTCTTGGTGGCCTTCTTCTCCAACGCTATGGAAGATTCTGGAGTGTTAAGGACATCTTGTAGACATTCCTGTGGAGGATGTAAGTCCTCATTTGCAACTTGAACTAGGATGATACTCTGTGAATCTTTGAATTCCCCACTAAGGATCAATTCACCATCCTCGCTAAGCATCTTAACAGAGCACTTCTTCAAAAAGTTCGAGGGGGAATCATTCAAATCTGCAATTCTGGTCTTCAACTTAATAACACAATCAGATTGGATTGGATTGCGGATACAAAACTTTATAGTTGTAGGAGAAGAAGATACAGATCTGAGTTCAAGCATTGAGTTTGCCAGGGTAGGTCTACTTGACAAATTTGCAACGACAAATTGCAAGAAGTCACCTTGGACAAGAGAGGTAATCTTGATACTTGGGTTTGAACTTTTCTCTTTTCTACCAACATGCTTCAACCCAATCTTAACTAGTTCTTCAATATTGTAACCTTTTGCTAATCCAATCAAAGACGAGTACTTATCAGTGATATCTTCCAAAGACTTGAGTTGCGCCTGCAGTATTTCATTTTGTTCCTCCAAGTCTTTCTTTACCTCATCAACCTTACTCTCATTCGTGGCTGCTTCGGTCAATGAACCAGCTAGTTGAACCTCAACAAATGCTGGGTACTTAACAACCTCGTGACAAGCAGAATGATAACCAGAGGAACGACCTTCAGAGTAACAAGTCTCGCACAAGTCGTAGTTGAAGCACTGTTTACACTTGTATCTGTTACCAACTATTGCATGTTCAGGATCGCCAATAGGGCAACAAACATCACAAAATACACCAGGATGGAAGCGAACTAGTTCGCCAGCACTCTTGTTTGTCTTCAAGGTTGAAAAGGAAACAGGGGAAGTTCTAGCCATTTCATGACTCTTAGAATGGTTCACACCGCAAGACCAGGTTACTGTGTCTTGATCACGGTAACACTTCTCACAAAGATCGAAATCTGGACAAACTTTACAACTGTATCTGTAGCCTGATATTCTTGTGCGTTCGGTACATGGGAAAGAGCATCCATCGCAATAAACGCTATCATGGTAACCAACAGTTATGGTTGACTCCCCATGATGGTTCAGACCATCGGCGTGTTCATGATTCTTTATAGACTCTTCCTTTTCAACAACTTTGTCCAGCTTTGCGCTCAAGTTGGCAATCTCCTTACACAGACGTTCAAACCCATCCTTTGGAACTGAGACATAAGTGTCTGGCTTCTTTGACTTCTCAACTTTACCCAGGATATCCTTCTTCTTGGGAGCAATATCAACCGGCTCTTTAGTGCCAACACTGCCTTGAGCAGACTTGACAACCTTGGGGGTCTTTTGGGAGGCTGCAACAGCAGCCTCCACACCGACATCCACAACAACCCTAAGCACAAGCGTATTCTTCACAGCCAAGCTGCGCTTCAAGTACTTATAATCCTCTTTGGTCCGTAATGGCACATAGCCCTTGAACTTCTTCGATCTTCTCTCTAACTTGAACTTTGCCGGTAGACCACCAAAGCTCCTCTTAACCAGACCTGTGAGCGCTTCCTTGTTCACCGCCTCAGAGTCCATCGACTCGGTGTGCTTAGCGCCCTGCCATTCAACAGTAATATCCACCTGTTTGCTCTCTTGATCCATTGCTTTATTCATCTGTTGCCTTCTTTATGACACACTGGGAAAGCAATCACAAATCAAAACAAGGAAAAGGGGGTGGGTTCCAAATGGTGATAAAAAAGAAAGTGTCACACACATAGACCGCTAAGCCTAAACACCCCCCCCCCCACAAAAAAGGACTGTGGCGAAATTATGGGTAGATAAGCTTAGTGCTGCTCCTACCGTTTGGTATGGCTCACCGATTCGGTAGGGGAACCCCACTAAGCAATAACCTGTTTGTTCAGCTGGTTGTTTTTGAAGGTTGTCTTTGACGTGTAATGGATGGTTATAACTCAATTGTTCCGGTACTGTGTAGGAACTGTATGGTTAATGTTTCTGGCCGTGTGTTTTCGGTGCAATGGAAAAGGTCTGAACTGGACATGACCCCATTGTCCGAGTGTACCCAGCTAGTGGAGGCCTGTAAACACCTCCTGATCTGAGTGTGTCCATCTGGTAGGCATCTAGAGGTGATAAATGGCTTTGAGACAAAGGTGTTTTGAATCGACTGGACATATATGTGTCCTCATATTATCCCAAAGCTGTCCACCAGGTGAGTTCTTCATTGGTAAGACAAATGGTGTAGTGAGGTGTCCGGGTTTAATGTGATACAAAAAATGGCTCAAGCATCCTGTTCTATCTGTTCAGTAGTATATCGTGGGTGTATTGTAAATGGCATGGAGTACTAGATGATAGCTGTTAATCAGTCAATTGGGTACTCGCAGCTTGGTAATGTAAGTTGCATATGTTGCAATCCCCAATGGGATTGGTCCTCCTGTGAGTTGTACTCAGGGCATAGCGTCCCGTTGCAGATGTGGCTTAGAGGTGTCCGGGTTTAATATGACACATTTCTGGATGATTTCAACTTGTTAGGACAGTAAAAAGGTGAAGTATTCAAATATCTGTTAGCTAGAGGAATACAACTTTTTTCTTTTCAAGAATATGCACAGGATGGGACACCAGCCCATCTTGATATTAGGCGAATTACTGTGATCGTTGAAATAATATATGCGTCGTGTTAAATTGTTATATTATCAGCAGAAATGTGACTTTGTATGTTTAAAATTTCTGATATAAAATAAACTTGGTTCTTTTATTTCCAAATAAATAAATATATTTTAATGATAAATGCAATTAACCATCTGGTGAAGAATATTGAGCTAGGACTCTTGAGATATTACAGTTGCAAGGGATTAATTCAATGCATCATGCTCATAATTGTTTAATAAGAAAACGCTGTATGTTTTCAAACTGTGTATATTACACGATAATGTAATGTTGAGTGCCAACAGCTCAGCCTGGTAAACGGAAAGAGGCCTGTAATCTCCTCCAATGTCCAGGAAAACTGATCTTTTGAAGTTATGGCTGTGTTAGAGCTAAATAGCTTCACTAACCACTGACGCAAAATTTTAGAAGGACAGCCATCATGTCTTCGGAATGTTAAAGATGACAAGATTTGCATCCAATTGAAAGCCCTGGTTTAAATCTAGAGGATCGAAACTGAATTTCTACAGTGGTTTTAGTATATTTACACTTGCTTTGACAGTTAAAGTGTAATGGATGTATAACTTATAAGTGTTGCATACCGCTTAAACACTAAGGCGAAAGCCTCTGACTGAATCATGTAATAAGATCTTCTTGAAAAGATAATTGGTGATTAATTGATGGGAGTTATCGGGACAGGGTAATTCTTCCACTTATTTCATGTTCAAACTACGAAGAATTTGCAGTCTCAGAACTTTTCGAAATTGACTTCAAATGAGATGTCAGTTTGGACGTGGTTATTTGTATGATAAAACAATAGGGGATGGTAATTTAATACTGTGAAAGTCTGAAATGACAATACGATTGGTTGATAGCCACAGAAATTGTAGAAATAATTGTTTGACTATTCACAACTAGCTCATTCGATAACAGGAATATCTCCACATCGTATATCTACGAAAAGTTGGAAAGCCTGAATTAAACTCCTAACCATACTTTGGAGTTTCATACGTGCTTATCTTGGATGCATATTTAAACATGACATGTACACCCATAAATTCTTCCATTTATACACATATCCTTGACATTACACCCATAGTACCCTTCCTGACGCATATAATGTCCAAAAGGGATATTTTACTGTGTTACTTCGAGACAAGAAGGGTTACTGCACCACTACTGAAACCTCTTTTACCAAGTCAGTTTATAATGCAAAGTAACATACCATATTCACCTTAGAAGTGGTCAAACGCTTGGTTATGGACTTTTCAACTCATTTTTGGAAGAGCTGACCTTGGTTTCATAATCTATGGTATATTCCCTTGCAAATACAAGTAGATGCAACTGTGTGTACATTTCCAAATATATGCATGTAATGTACATTTAATAATTGATCGAGCAACACTCTGTGAATGTCCTTCAAAGGACCCTTATTTATTCTATAGCTTGGAAAGAATCCAAGAAACCCCAAGGGCTCTACTTTTTGAACATTGCTTTGCATTTTCACTCAATTTCTAATATTATTACTTACAATTAGGGGTTCCCAAGCCTCTACATTTTTCCTATTCCAGAAAGCAGGATCGAGCATTTGATGATGAGTCCACTCCAAGTAGAAGCCAAACAGTTAAAGTTAACGATTCTTCTGAAATGGATATCCACAATAAACATAGGTTGAACTTTCATATAATGGTGTGAAGCACTCAAGTTAGAGATTTGTTTCAATACAGTCTCATTAATTAAGTCATGCTTTACGATAGTTGTGATAGAAAACAACAACAAGTAACAAACTGTGTGATGTAGCCTCGCTTCCATTTTAAGTTTGTTTGGTTTGCATCTGGGTAAATATATGTCCAACAAGACTTCACTCGAGACGAATATGGAAAATCAAAGGTATTTACTTTTGATCTCTGATGTCCACATCTTTTATTTCGTATAGATGCACCAAGGAAATGTTGTTGTACATAGTTTTGCTGAGGCGAATATAACTGTGCAGATCGTCTTGCATGTCATTCTTATACAGTAATGAAACATTTCTTTCGTCTTGATAAAGATGAAATCATGGTTCAGCAGGCCACGACTGTAGATTACAAATCCAGGAAGCCTAGAGGGCTTTGAAAACACTATTATTGAACAGTATTAAACTGAGCGACTCAAATAGTTTGAAGTGTTTTGCACAGGTAAATGCGGCAAAATAGAGAACATACTAGAACACGCATTTGCACTTATTACGACCCACTAGTTACAGCATTTGAACAATATATAGTTAGCCATTATTGCTAATACTGGTAATGGAGCTTAAAAGTTTACCATACGTTATCTCCCAACCCTTGGATGTCATTATAGATTCACCGTTAGGAGTAGTAAGAGTGCTGAAAGGATGTATATATATTCATGTACCAGGTGATACTGCTGTTGGCCCCTGTAGGCTCTAAAGTATCAGCTGAGATTACCATTGTGATATCTACAGACACTTATGACACATATAAAGCCTAGTGTGCTACTCATTCGTTCATTCAACAAGAGGCGCATTTGCCTATGATCATATCGATGGTCAACTAACAAAAGAAAGGTTATTGGCAAAGCCGACCAATGATGATGGTTTTAAAATATACACATGCGACAATGGCTCAGACTGTGATACTCTGTCTGTTTTGTTCTTTAATGGACTGATTAACAGAGGACAAGTGGCTCTTAATTCAGCGAACATGCTGGCTTCACCAACTCTCTCCACTGACACTCTTGATAGTTTTGTCAACGATGGCACCTTCACCATGGCAGATTTTGGCAGTTCGGGTGGTATGAATGCATTTATACACAGTGTTAAAACCACAAGCAAAGGTGCTGTTGCTTACTGTCAAACCGGTTCATGTTCAGGAGGTGCATCAAATTTGGGAGACCTGAGAACGAGTCAACTAATGATAGAACCATCTGTTCATCATCAGTTAATCTCCTTGTGGAAGCACGAACTCCTGGGTCTGGCTGTTTTAGTATTGGAGAAGGCTCTCTGTTTGACCAATCACCACCTAGATCGTTATTACTTGAACACAGATGAGACAGCGTACCTAGCAACCCAGTGCTCACGAATACTCTTAGGCACTGGTGAACAACAAAATGACTTGAACGTTGCAGGAAGTTGTAATGAGAATGTAATATGTTTTGCAAATGTTGTACCAGATTTTTCCCTTGACAGGTATATACCAAGTGCCAACACAGGCGGAAGGACATTCTGCTTCAATATTCAATGAAGGTTACAATAACTACTTGTTATAAAAAAGAGCATAAACCTCAGGTAGTGTTGAATTCGCAAGCTTTATCGTGTATCAAGCTGAATTTCCAGAAAGTGGAATACCTTCCTCTTGTAAAAGCTGCCCTGATATCCCAACATGCCATAATGACAGTGAAGACTATACTCAGAGTCCAGATGAATGGACTGATGATCATGGTAATACCAACACCTGTAGAAGCACTACAAAGACAGATGCCAATGAAAACAGAAAATGAGACAGTTATGAGCCAAAGCAACGACAAGATACTAGATAAAGGGACAGATAACAGAATTTCAAAAGGTACCACGGATAATAATAGTGGCAAAGAACAGAGTAGAGAATCTGATGATCACAATTCTCTAGATGGTGAAGAAAATAAGGGTGATGAGGAAGATAATTACTGCGGTATGGCAATTGAGAAACACCCTTGCGATGCTTCATAGCCACACATAGCCAATGATATTCATCAAAGAATGACTGTATATTGTCTCTATAAGTCTTCTCCATACAAGGAGAGGATAGATGTATGACAGTTTATGAAACTTAATGAATGCTATCGCACTCTCTCAGAAATATTGGGCACGTCTTTGCAAGAATCATGAAAAGTTCGCTTAAACATGTGACTACAGACAGAGTAGTTTAAGCCTCAAGAGTTATAGATATTTAGCTGGGCTTATACCAAATACGAGTCTCTCAACGTGAATGTATGATGAAGACATGGGAATCTTTACTGAGGAACTCGTATCATACATAAGATTGGAGTATAGTATACGTCGGATTCTTGGCACTTACCCCAAATATTGGACATGAAGTTGTTGAGTGATAGTCACTAAGGCTAATCCAGTTCCTCAGGTGTTGAAGGCCTTTAACAGCTGTTCTTTGGATGTTATCACCACGTCTTCCAAATTCAGAAGTGAATCATATTTGGCTTCACATTGACTATTGATTCAGTCAATTGAATTTCCCAATCATCTGCTGAACAAAGCAACAATTCAGGAAAGAGCTGCCTTCCGTGACGATTCCTTTGAAAATGAGAAAAGAGACTTTGATATGGTCAACAAGCTTACGGGGTAGATTATATCACCAAAATGACAACAAATATCACTCCAACGCTGCTTTGGGCATAGAAAGCGTTGTGCACAACTGCTGCTTGCACTCACTGTAAATCATATATATATATATACTGGAAACTAATTTATCCTTATTAGGAGTAAGTGCAGAGGAAAGTCCTCATTCATGAACATTAATTGGCTCGTTACCAAGCTTTTACAAATATTTGAACCGCTTACATATCAAAGACGTTGAAGACTCTGGACTTGAAATTCATGAATACAGAATACTGGTATAAAAGACAATCAAATAGTAGATAAATCTGCACATGCTTTACTCCTTCTGCCATACTAATATCAAACTGTGTTGGGCTTTTGTTGGTGACTGTACTCCCACTTCTGGACACAATGGACTTCATGTAACTAATTTATTTCCGTGCGCTAAATACTTGTTACTGTTCAGCAAACAAAGGCAGTCAGCTGTAGAACGTGGTGCGTGTCATTTACTGTCACCGAGTCGACATTTACAGATATAAACAGTAGTTATCACCTGACTAAGACTCGAAAAAGGGAGATATGTAGATGTAACGCATATAATGAACTCTATGTGAGATAGTGGGATAAAGTCGCATACTACAACACGCCTGGTACTTGCTTCGTCGTGCTTAAGCGTCCACCTTCAACTTTCAGTACTTCGTCACTGTATAAGGCAGGCTCAATTGTTTACATAGAAGTCTCGGCAAGTTGATCAATCACTTCAAGCAAGTCAGACTAGCGAAACTGTGTATTATTCTCGGCGGATAAAGAATCACAGTATGTTCAACTCTTGGTGAAAGTTGACTCTACTTCCCAGCAACACAAATATTGGTCATTGTGTAATATTCGATTGAGTATCTGCCATTAGTTTGAACATGAGATAGCAAAATACCTCCACAACGGTGCCTTCCCCGATAGTATTATGATGTTTTGATATTGAGACTCCTTGTCGGCTTCCCTCATTTATAATAGCCAGTAGGGGGTTATACGTTTCGAACGAGTTACCAAGCTGTGGCTTCGAGCTCCAAACTGCTCACATCTCGAACCTTTTTCTAGTCAGTGCACCCTTGAGTTGGAAATTTTAGAGAAAAGTTCATCAAAATAGCAAGCTGTGAGCCAATATGGATAAAAGTTTTGCTTTCAACATTGACCCAGTGTTGGTTCTGTTTTCCAGACGTATGCTCGTCTGGCACCCCATATTGTTCGTAGGATTATAATACGGCCATCTGCAATTTATACATGTCTGTACATCGGCATTTACAGTCGCCTTTTGTGAGCACCAAGCTCCAGATAACTGCAGAAGCTAAGTAGTTTGTTTCCCAAATGAGACATAAATGTGGCATAGGAGATTGTACCAGCTAAGCGGAAGACCAACAGAAGAACAAGACTTGACTTTGAAGATGTTTAAACTCGATCGCCGTGGTTTAGAGTAAGAGATAACCTTCACATATTACTGAATACGTCATTTTGTATGGCAAAGCTTTCCACTTCATCAATCTTGATATCACAAATCCATGAAAGATCAAAGGCACAGATTGAGGGAGCCCTTACAAGCTTCCAACAAGAGAGAACCTTATACACGCTGCAACGTGGAGTAAGAGCCTTAAACTCAAATAACGTCTTCTCAGACATTGACACTTACAGCTGCCTCGTGACAATGGAATGCAAGCGTGATATGTCTCACATATTCTGGACTAAGAGTGTATACCTCTTCTAAGCTCGTAAGGATACGCATCTGTCACCACGGGGACATGGTAATGGTCTGAGATCTAAATAAATCACCTCTCAACAGTGAGCAGTAAACTGGTCTATAAGTACCAGGTTTTCCCTCGTCGTTTCACAGCTCAACTGTATGGATACTTCGAGTAGTAAAGATTATGATATATCTAACCAGACAGTTAGTTGTTTTACTGAGTTGTGTGGCTTCAGGCACACTCTCTGAGACAACCACTGTCGTTGTTCCTGGTGAGAGTACCCCACGGGCCCTCATTGGTAATGGCTACAGCGACTCGCTGAGCCCAATCTCCACAAGCCCTTACGCTCCTGGTGGAGCTACACTGGCAGGCCATCTCTCCTACGACGATCATGCACCTGATAGCCCACAAGTTCTGAAAGGCAAGACCAATACCCAAGGAGCTGACTCACAGAGTCAAAGAGGACCATCCATCCAAGGCGATATCTTCAATGCTGTCAACTACAACAGCAAACTGAGCACCAGAGATAATGAAGATGGTGAAGCTGGCACGAAAAAAGGTGGTGAGAGTAACTCCGGTGGTGGAGATATTACCAGTGAGGACAAAACTTCCGACACCGACACAACAGCCTCTAATCACAACAGCCAAGGTGACTCCAAGCAGAATGGAGACACTAATAAGGGTGTCAGTATTGAGCAAGTGAATCAGAATAAAGTAATTGGTTACGCAAAATTGTCTGATCTAGATCAGGCTAATGTTGCTGTTAGCACTGGTGGCTCCGCCAGCTCCAAGGATGGTACCGGTGACGGTGACCAATCCAAGGACAAGGCTAATTCGAAGGAC